GCACGTGCATTTTCCTTGTCCACTCCCAAGATTCTATTGCATGAAAGCAAGAACTCACTGAAGCCCCTGAATCCGCACTAGAGCTAAAACGCGGGAAGAGAGGGCCGTATCTGGACCAGGTATCTGGGCAGCTTTCTGGAGACAGAAAGGAGATGGGGTCACGGAGGTGAACGAGCTGGAGCAGGTGACACGATGGCTTCACACACACGTCACCAAACAACTCTGCATCATGGTTATAAATTAGATGCACCTGTTGTGTGTTTTCCTTGAAAGTGAAAACTTTCGATGTAAAAATCTGACAGCCTGGTGACAATGTAAAGGGGAAACACACCGGAGCTAGAAGGAGAGGTCAAAAAATAAATGCACCAGTTCCCTCGATTTATACAAGATCGATAACACTGGAGTGGGTGGCCATTTCCTTCTCCAGGGGATCTTTCTGACCCAGGAATCGAACCCAGGCCTCGTGCACTGCAGGTGAATTCTTTGCCATCTGAGCCGCCAGGGAAGCCCAATTTGGAGAGCCAAGATCGATAAACAAGTTTCATTCTTAATGTTGATATTTAGACAATATATGCTTTTCTCTTTTCTAGGAAAATGAGTCACCATAATTGAATCAATAAGCAATAGCAAAACGCTGTGTGTGAAATTGAAAGTGTTGTTGAAGAATTATCTCTCACGAAGCACCAGCCCCAGACATTTCACAGGCGAGGTTTCCCAAGTGCTGTGGAGCGGATCGTTTCCATGCTGGATAAACGCTTCCAGAGAACACGGAAAGATGGCGAACTTCCCAGCGGTTCATTTCCCAAAGCCAGCATATCCTAGAGACACGAGCGAGGACAGGCTGGAAAGGAGACTGAAGGCAGGTGTCCTTTACGAAGACAGATGCAAAAACTACACAGGAAACGGCGGTGTTAATAATAGTGGTTGATAGCGGTGTATTAACTAGAGCACATCTGCTACGAAGGTGAAACAGTAAGGATGGATCCGGAGCGGGGGCCTTTCACACCGGCTGATGACTCACCCCAAAATCAAAGGAAAGGAGGGAGGTACCACTGCGTCAATAGACGGGGGAATACATCTGTTAAAACGTTTTGATACGGGCTCCTCTGGAGGAGGGCATGGCTACCCACTCCAGTGTCCTTGCCTGGAGAATCCCGTGGACAGAGGAACCTGGCGGGCTACAGTCCATGGGGTTGCAAAGAGTCGGACACGACTGAGCGACTCACACTTTCACTTTCCCTGGTGGTCCGGTGGTTAAAGAGTCCCCCGTGTGATGCAGGGAACAGTGGTTTGATCCTCCGTCCGGAAAGATCTCACAGGCCTTGGAGCAACTAAGCTGGTGCGTCACAGCTACTGAGGAAGCCCTCTGGAGCCCGCAGACCACTGCTTACTGAGCCACGTGCAGTAACGACCGAAGCCCGTACGCCTTGGGTCCACAGCAAGAGAAGCCGCGGCAGAGAGAAGCTGTGCATCGCACTCGGAGAGTATCCCCACTCTGCACAGCTAGAGAAAGCCTGGAGAGGCAGGTGAGACCCAGCACAGCCAGAGACAGGGAAGCCTCCCTTTAAAAAATGCCCAAGTAGGCTCAGGAAGAGCAAGGCTTTCCTGACAAGATTAAGATACATCCTCGGACCGCAAAGCCAACAGCCAACACTCAACATCAACCCACAAGGAAGACCTTGCTGCCGACTGTGGCCCACGTCCTGCGGCCTCACAACAGAATGAGGAATGCGAAAACAGACTGTAAAAGAATGCAAAGCTACAGAGAGATAATTCTGCCTTTTTTTAATTGGTAAGGGAGAAGCAAAACTGTCATCACTCAAACATGCTGTGATTGTCTACCCGAAAAAAATCCAAAGATGCACTAACTGTTTAAATTCCACGAAAACAAACATAAAAAAGCAATAGTTTTCCTACTGACCAGCCCCAATAGTTTGGGCAAATGGCAAAAGAATCCTATTTGCAGTAGTGAAGTTGACTATCTGGAAACTAACCTCACAAAATGTACGTCGGGCTCAGAGGATTAGAGCCACATGTGTGTGGAGCAGAGTAACAGAGAGAAAAGTTGGACCAGTGGGTAAATACAGTGTACTCCACATCAGAGGAGGCCTCGTGGCTCAGAAGACGGAGAATCTGCCCGCAGTGGGGAGACCGGGTTTCATCCCCAGGCTGGGAAGATCTCCTGGAGGAGGGCATGGCAACCCACTCCAGTATTCGTGCCTGGAGGAGTCCATGGGCAGAGGAGCCTGGCGGGCTACAGTCCACGAGGTCGCAGAGAGTCAGAGACAATTGAGCAACTGTTAGCACACTTTCCACATCAGAAGACCGGTATTAATGTGCACACGCTTACCAAACTAACTCGTGACTTTGGTGCAAATCAATGAAAACTGCGATGGAACTGTTTGTGTAGAGTCAGCCGTCCATGAAGGCTCCAAGAATAAGGCAAGTGAGGAGAAGCAAGGGAATGGAGGACAAGGGCTTGGAGGCACCAGGACCCTGCTCCTTGGGGCCCCAGGGCTCAGAGCGGCGGTCAGTGGTCAGCACGCTGGGGGCCGGCATCAGGCGTGACGCCTCGGGCACCACGGAGGTCGGTCAGGAGCCCGGACAGCCGCCTGGACAGCCGGGCAGGACCCGCCTCCACCTCCGTCGAGGTGGCCCCGAGCCCCCTGTGTGAGCCCTTCCCTCACCCCTGAAGCCAGGGGCGCAGCGTCCACAGTGAAAGCCTCCCCGGGGCCTCTGGCGCAGAGAGAGGTCTACAGTGCACGCGTGACGTGAAACAGACACGCAACAGAGGAAGTGAGTTAAGCGTGCGGACAGTGAAGGACCCACACGTGCTCACACGCACCCCCACCGCGGGGGCAGATGGGGCTCAGGCTGACGCCCCCAGGCGGGGGACGGAGGCAGGCAGGGAGGGGGTGAGATGCAAGATGGGAGACCGGGAGAGGCGGCAGCTTTCCGAATCAGCAGCCCTCGAAAGGCTGAGAGAGGTCAGTTTCTATCCGGGGTCAACGCAACGGGATCCAGGCCCTCCACAAACCCAAAGCGAAGGTCAACACGTCAGGGCAGAAACAATCTCCATCCTAAGGTTAGGAATTCCTCTGCCCTCCACTTTTAGCCTACGGGAAGCTTCAGAAAACAATAATGGAAAAACTAAACTATATGCAATAAATGTCATCCTCTTTCCACATTAAAAAAAATATATTTTCTAAGGAAGCACATCTCCTCTTTAGCACCACAAAGTCTACCTGGACCCTGGAGCATGCGTGCTGTGTTCAGGGGAGCTCCAGCCCTCACCCTGCCCCAGGCTGTGATGGATGTGGACCGGCAAAGACTCCCCGCCCCCAGCATCCCCCCACCCACCCCCCGCACTGGGAGCTCATGGCTCCCATTTGCAGGAAATACGAGGCACTAAAGTCTGACACTGCAGGAAGAGTGGTATAAGAGGAAGAAATGGCACAGCATGAATCCAGTCTCCAGAGGAGCCCCCGGCCTGACAGCTGACTTGGAGGCTCTCAGATTCATCCCTGGGGGGTGCCAACCCCAAAGTCAAGCCGACTCTAGGCCCCTGGAGACGCCGTGCCCTTGGCAAGGACGTGATGGATTTTAAAAATCAACAAACGGCCGTGACTGACATGACAGCCATCCCCAGGTGAACACGAGAAGGGGGGGTCATCTGTTTCAGGTGCAGCCCCCCAACCCTTCCCTCCTGCGTGTCTCCTCTGCCACCCCCACCCCAGGCAGCAGCTTTTCTGGCCCCCAAAGCGACCTGCTCTGGGACGGAAGATGCACATTAGCAAATCACACCATCCCCCAGAGGAGCTGTGCACCCACCTTTCAGATAAGGAAGCAAAGCTCTGCCAGCACGTGGCTCGCAGGTGGGGCCCGGGTCTGCCTGCTCCAGGGCCCAGGGGTGGGGGGCTCCAGGGAGGTGCTCAGAGCCCGGGTCCCGGGTGATGGCAGGAAAGGCTGCCTCTCCCATCCGCTTCTCACCCACGCCCCTGCTCTGACCGGCGACCCCCCACCATCCACGCCCTCTTTGTCAGGACCCTCTTATCATCTGGTGGGAGTTCCGTGACCGTCAGGCTGTAAGGATGGGCAGTGGGTTCGGTTCTCCGTGCCACACCGTTCACCAGGACCGCGGGCTGGGCCTGGCCAAGGACTGACCCCAGGATAGAGGAGGCCCCTGGCAGGCATTCAGGAAGGAGGGAGGGGACAGGTGTGGTCCCTCCGCCAAAGGATTTGCACAAGAGGACCGAGGTTCCCTTCTGCCCCTTCCACCCGCTGTCTGAAGATCTTGGCCCAGCCAGAGTCTGTGAATTTATTGAAACCCGTCATCTGTAAAATGGGCCAGTACCCACCCGCATCACTAGGCTGACTCTTCTCAATAAGGAGGTTGTGCAGGTCAAGAGGTTGTGTGGGTCAGGGAGGGAGGTCACGCGGGTCGGACAGTGGCTCTGGGAGGTCAGAGCAGGGGTTGGGTGGGTCAGGGAGGAGGTCATGTGAGTCACACACAGCAGCGGTGAGCATCGCAACCTCAGTCCCAGGAGCAGCGGGGTTTGAACCGACAGGAAATGAAAGGCTGCTTCCAGAGACATGAAATGCGGGCCTCCTGCTGGCGATGGGGTGAGCGAGATTAGAATATTATTCTCCGTAGAGATATGACTCTTTTAATTTCGCTGAAGTACCCAGCTTTAGACAGGAAATCAATTGTCTATTGTCATCAGTCAAGGAGAGGAAATAAGGGCCCGTCTATGGGCCGCGGTCTTGGACATGATTGATTGGAAACAGAAGTTGACTCCTTGATGAAAGGTGCCGGACGGTGGCCGTGGAGCTGGGCTGGGCTGAGCTGGGCCACGGTCGGCGGAGACGCTGGGCAACTCGGGGACAGCTGAGGGCACGTGGCCTCTGCCCAGCCAGTCAGCCACTCCAGGCACCGAACACCAGGGCGGGCAGAGCTCCCGTCCCCGCCTGACCTGGGCCGACAGCCTCGGGTCGTGAAGTCAGAAAGCTGCGTCTAGGCGCCTTCCCGCGGGATCAGGGAGACGCCCGCCCAGGGCGCAGCGGCAGCCGGTGCCCTTGCTGGATGCCCTCGCTGGAGTGTCTGACGGATGCGGGCGCACACAGACCCAGGCCCGGCGTCCTCCGGGAGCCCACGGCGCCCACTTCTCCAGGGCTCCCGCGGGGACAGAGTGCACACGTGAACACGCATGGCTCAGAACAACTGGATTGGACTGTGTCCTCGCTTTCACAGTTTTCTCTTCAGGAAGGCGAACGGCCTCCTCCGCAGGATTGGTCTTTGGTTTGCTGGCGCTGCTGGCTGGACAGGAAGCGGGTCCCGGGGAGGAGCGGCCACCTGGCTCCTCTCCTAAGTTCAGACTGTCTGCTCCTGTAAATAAATGGACCCCTGGAGACCATCCCACCACCACACAGCGCCCTGTCCCTGAGATTACTCCCCATCAACCTCACAGAGCCGGAGGAACCCGGACAGAGCTGCTGTCAGGGGGATGTGCGGGGCGCTCTCGGGGGTCGCTGGCCGCACGCCCGGAGCTGAGGTCACCAGGCCCCCCTGCCCCTGACGGTCACTTTCACCCGCACGGCCAGCAGCGGCCAAGGAGGATGGCTGGTCGGAGGCAGCGCCGGGCAGAGGAGACCAAGGCGATGTGTCGGAGCGCAGCAGGCATCTCTCCACCCAGGCCACAGCCTGACAGAGTCTTCCAGAACCTGGACCTTCCTCCCACCCCCCAAAAGGCAACTCACAGCAGCTTCCGGACATGGTGGCTGCATTGCTGAGCCAAAAATGAGGGCCCTGCTCTGAGGGGTTACCCTCCAGCAGGTGGTCAGGGGTTTAAATGCAGACGTGACTGTAGGAGACGGAGCTGGCCATGCGGAGAACAGGTGGAGCCACCCCCCTGAGGACACAGGGACAGCAAGGGCCCAGGGCAGGCGAGCGTGGGGGAGCCTGGGGGCTGGACCAGGCCAGGGGGTCTGCAGCGGGTGGGAGCCAGGGGCAGGGCCTGGGTGCAGGGCGGCCTCGGGCCAGGCGGAAAGAGCAACAAGCACATTAAAGGCTTTAAGCACAAGAATGACATGATCTGATTTATATTTTCTAAAGATCACTCTGTTAGTTGACATTTGAAATGATATTTGAGATGTGTCTGGAGAGTGCAGGTAGAACGGAGACAGATGAAGAGGGATGTGCCCTGGGTACATCGGGAGCAGCGACACAGCCGGGGGCTGGAGACCCACACCAGAGACAGACGGGGGCCCTGGGGTGGGGGGGAGCTGGGAGGACGGGGTGGGGGGTGGGGGGAGCTGGGAGGACGGGGTGGGGGGTGGGGGGGAGCTGGGAGGACGGGGTGGGGGGGAGGGGAGCTGGGAGGACGGGGTGGGGGGTGGGGGGGAGCTGGGAGGACGGGGTGGGGGGTGGGGGGAGCTGGGAGGATGGGGGCCCTGGGGTGGGGGGGGAGCTGGGAGGACGGGGTGGGGGGGAGGGGAGCTGGGAGGACAGGGTGGGGGGTGGGGGGAGCTGGGAGGATGGGGGCCCTGGGGTGGGGGGGAGCTGGGAGGACGGGGTGGGGGGTGGGGGGAGCTGGGAGGACAGGGTGGGGGGTGGGGGGAGCTGGGAGGATGGGGGCCCTGGGGTGGGGGGGAGCTGGGAGGACAGGGTGGGGGGTGGGGGGGAGCTGGGAGGACGGGGTGGGGGGTGGGGGGAGCTGGGAGGACGGGGTGGGGGGTGGGGGGGAGCTGGGAGGACGGGGTGGGGGGTGGGGGGGAGCTGGGAGGACGGGGTGGGGGGTGGGGGGAGCTGGGAGGATGGGGGCCCTGGGGTGAGGCTGGGCCCATGGGGGCTCAGAACACGGGATGCGGGCCGGTGGGTCCCATGTGACCCTTTAAGGAGAGATCAATGGCAGTGATACTCCGAGCCAGCAGCTTCCTTACATCATTAGACACCATTAAAGAATCAATAGCTGGACTAGAGGGGAAGCTTTGCACAAGGGTCAGTTCCAGCTGCAGGGTCTGTGACCTCAGAGCATGCGCTCACAGGCGGGTCTCCTCACAGACACGCCGCCCGACTAGAGAAGGTGGTGAAAAACTCGTTAACTCAGAAACCTTGAGGGCAAGCCCTCCTTGCCTCTCTGCCCTGCCTTTTTACATTTTTCTGGTTTCTACAATGTAGGACATTCCACCTTAGAAAATCAGCACATCCCCGGGGACAGAGCAGGCCCACAGCCCTGGGCAGCACTGGGCCCTGAGAAGGGGCGCCTGAGGCCATGTCTGCCTTTCAGGGTCGCCAGACGCTCCACCAGCAGGGTCCAGACACAGGCCAGGCTGGAGCCGAGGAGCCCTGGGATTCCTTAAAATGGTAAAATGGAACAATGGAAAAAATACAGACCTGCCTCTTTGAGTCCTGTCCTGTCCAAGCACAGTACAAGCTTCATGCACACACATGCATACCCCTCACACACATAAACACACGCGCACACATGTGTACACACATGTGCAAGCATGTGTGCACAGGCACATGCGCATATATACAGGCACTCACATACATGTGCATGTGTATGCACAATATGCATGCATGTGTGTGCGTGTAGGCACCTGTAGTGCACGTGCATGTGCATGCACCCATGCCTAAACATGTGTGTACATGCATACGTGCTTGCACACATGTACATACATATGGACACATATACATACACATGGACACATATAAACACATGCACACCTAACTGACGGCTGGAATGACTCATTTCCAGAGAGGTGTTGGCCACCGGGCCCCACAATACCCACCTCATTTGGAGAAAAAAAACCCACGATCCCCAGCTGTGACACGAGGGCTTTCGGCAGCTGGCGGGCCTCTGGTGGGCCTCGGCCAGCGGTCTGTGCGAGACGTCACGGCTGGAGGCCGGCCCTGCCTCGCTGAGCGCTGCTGGCGGGCATCTGTCTTTCTCACTAAGCTGAGGCTGGGAGACCCTCACAGTCAGACTTGCTTCTCAGCAGACACGGGCTTTTAACCCCCTTTCCTTCCACACGCAGGGGCTCCACAGTTCAGCAACCACGTAACAGGGGCCCCGTGGGCACCTCAAAGCACCTTCCTACCCCAGCAGCAGCATCTGCTTGCCCGCCCTGGGATGCTGGCCCCTCAGCCTGGGCTCCGGGATCAGGGAGACCCGTGATTCTAGCTTCGGCCCCGCCAACCCACCTTCCACGAGGCACATCCGACACAAGCGGGACACCGTCTGCTCCCTCCCCACTGCCGCCCCAGACCTAGGAGCTCCCTGAGTGGGAGGCACCCCCACCCCCGAGTGTTCGCCGTCTTCTCTGGAGCTGGGAGCTCAGGCCGTGGACACCTGGAGGGGCCAGGACGCCCGCGTCCACCCTTGGGCGTGGCTAGAGGGAAAGCACCACTGCGGAAAACTGGATGTTCTTCAAAACGCGGAAACAGAACTGCCAAGTGAGCCAGCACCTCGCTCCTGAGCGCAGCCCAGTGAGCTCAGGGCGGGGCTCACACATGTACACTGAGCTCACGGCAGCATTCCTGCAACAGCCCACGGTGGAGGGAAGCCCGTGTCTACAAATAAACGGACGAACACAATGTGGTCCATCCACACAGTGGAATACTACTCACGCTTAAAAAGGAAGGAAATTCTGACACATGCTACAACATGGATAAGCCTTAAAGACATACTACTCAGAGGAACAAGCCAGTCACAAATAGAGAGGCGCATGTGGCTTCGCTTACATGAGGTCCCTAGTAAAGAGCAGGTGGTGCTAGTGGTGAAGATCCTGGCTGCCAGTGCAGGCGACGGAAGAGATGCTGGTTCAGTCCCTGAGTTGGGATGATCCCCTGGAGGAGGGCACAGCAATCCGCTCCAGCATTCCTGCCTGGAGAACCCCATGGACAGAGGAGCCTGGCGGGCTGCAGTCCACAGGGTCACAGAGTCGGGCACGACTGCAGACTCTCAAGAGTCTTCTCCAACGGCAAAGTTCAAAAGCATCAATTCTTCAGTGCTCAGCCTTCTTTATGGTCCAACTCTCACATGCGTACATGACTACTGGGAAAACCATAGCTTTGGCTAGATGGACCTTTGTCAGCAAAGTGATGTCTCTGCTTTTTAATATGCTGTCTAGGGTTGCCATAGCTTTTCTTCCAAGGAGCAAATGTCTTTTAATTTCATAGCTGAAGTCACCATCCACTGTGATTTTGGAGCCCAAGAAAATAAAATCTGTCACTGTTTCCACTTTTCCCTATCTATTTGCCATGAAGTGATGGGGCAGGTTGCCATGGTTTTCATGTTTTGAATGCTGAGTTTTAAGCCAGGGCTGATGTTGCCGGGGAGTGAGCATAAACAACCTGATCTTACTTCTCAGGAAGCCAGCAGAGTCCTGAAATTACACTGGGGTTGGCTGTACACCCCTGCAGACATACTAACCCTCACTGTACGCTAGGAGCAGGTGAGCTTTCCAGTGACAGCAAGCCAGGGCCTCCCTCCACCGTCACGCCCCCTCTGTCAGGTGAGGATCAGCGCTACAGCAGGAAAGAAAGGAAACCTTAGCCGTGAAGCCCACTCCCTTCAGAGGAGCGCGAGGGGATCGTCAGAGGATGCTGAGCCCGCGGGACCCTCAGGCTCCTACGGCTCTTCCTCACTGCCAATTTTCCTTCTTCCTTTTCGGCTGTCACATGAAATGCATCTTCTATGAGAAAAGAGACAGGAGTCACAGCCGAAATCACAGCATTGGTTGAAAGGAGGGAGGTGGCAGATCCGCCCGTGGAGACTCCAGGGGGCGTGGGACCAGCAGATGGCTTCAGCCCTCTTCATCTCCATGTGACTTTCCCTGGCAAGGTCAGCACTGCGGGTATAGACACGACTTTCCCGGATGGGGTCAGCACTGTGGGGTGTAGATGCACGGCCCCTCTGGGATCTGAGATGCTGTGAGCCGCGTCACGGCGGCAGAAGCAGGCTGATCATTACAGCAAGAGCAGCAAGAAAGATGGCGCCTTCCTGAGCATTTATCACATGTCAGGGATGGTGTTGAGGGCTTACTGGTGACTTAATTTCATTTAAATCTCAAAACAGCCTGTGCTGTACTCATCATAACCCCATTGCACAGACGGGGAAACAAGGTAATTAATTGTGCACTCAAGGTGGTTAGTCTGCGTAGGTACTCAGTCGTTCGAGTCGTGCCTGACTCTTCGTGACCCCATGGAGTGTAGCCCACCAGGCTCCTCCGTCCATGGGATTCTCCAGGCAAGAACACTGGAGCGGGTTGCCACGCCCTTCTCCAGGGGATCTTCCCGACCCAGGGACTGAACCTGCAACTATTACATCCCTTGCATTGGCAGGTGGATTCTTTACCACTGAGCCACCTGGGAAGCCCTGATTAGGCTGCATTCAAGTTCAGATCCGATGCTCAGAGCCTGGCTTCCTGGGAGACAGCAGGCCCCAGTGCTCAGGACGAGCTGCTGAGAGGCTGTCTAGGGACTTCAGCCTCACAAGGGGGAGGAGAGAGCTGAATTCCTAGGAGAGAGGGCGTGGAAGGCGCAGGGACCAGCACAAAACACGGCCTGGGGAGCCGGCAGGCAGACGGTAGGACGCTCTTCAGATGAGAATGAACTAGCTTCTCAAAGAGAAGTGAGACTGAAACTGCAGGAAGCCCTAAGCGAGAATTTCTTAACCAATTTGCTATTGGTGCAAGAACTCCGAGCTTCTGTTCAGTCTGACCTTCAAAACTGTCCTCCCCAATAAGGAGGACTAAGAACTCCCGAGCCCCCGTCCCCCAGCCCTCCCCGGGTCTGCAGGGAGGACAAAGCGGCCTGCGTGGCAGGAGCCCAAGGTTCTCCTGCAGCCTCTCGGCGCCTCTAGCAGCAGCTGACGGCCTCCAAACCCACTCACTGGCAGACCCGCCTCCTTATTCAAGCTCTGCAGGGCGTCAGCAGGAGTGAAACCCCACGGAGACTGTCCTGTCTCCGCCCTGGGACACAGCCTTCCTGCTGAGAAAATGCCCAGGGGGCAAGGCCTCCTCGCTGCAGAGCCGGGCAGGGCGCTCACTGCCTGCTCCACGCCTGGCTCCTGGCTCGGTCAGTGATGGCCTGTTTCCCCCTCTGACCCCTGGATGCCCTCGCTTACCTTCTGCTCTGGGGCAGAGGCGGCCAGGTGGGAGACCCCCGAGAGCTCCTCCAGGGCCCGCGTGCTAAGCTTGCCTCTCCCCTCCGAGTCTGAATCTATCCTCCACGAACGGTCGCCAGTCGGAAGCCCACCTCCCCTCCTGCCCCGGATGCCTGGAGTTCAGACATGGCCCCTGGGTGTGTGTCCAGCTCCTTCCTTCTCCAGGACAGGTCAGGATGGCTCAGCCGCCACCCTACCCCCGTCTGCCTGTTGTCCTCCGTGAGTTAATGCACAAGGCTTATCTCTTAAAAACCACTGCACAACCTAGCGCTTCCCTACACAACCAACTATCACTCGCAACACGCGGGTCAGCGATTTCAGCCGGGATCCCTGGACAGGTGTCTGCAGCAGGCTTAGCGGGCCAGAGGCTTCCTCCCGGCTTCCTCCCACCCACGGGGTCTTGCCAGGGTTGTCCCTGGAGCACATCTGTTCTCTGGCGGAGTGTCTCTCTCTGTCCATGTGGTGTCCTTCTCCAGGGGGACAGGGTGGGGCCAGGATTCCAGAGGAAGAGTGGGATTGCTAGGCAACGCCCCCCGTGACAAGGCTGGGCTGGCAAGGGGTGGCGCCAGCACACCCAGCCGTCCGAGCACCCGAGGCTGGCCGTGGGCAGAAGACGTGGCCCCACCCAGGAGGGGAGGCTAGCCCGGTGGTTGGGAAAGGGCCCCAGGCCACACAAGCTGGCCGGCCTCTGCGTGGCCTTTGAGTGTCCCCACGGTCCTCACCTCCTTGGACACTCGCCTGGAGCCAGGACGGGCCCCCTATCAACACCTGAGCCTGGGGGGGTGGGCGCTCCTGGGACTGGATCTGGGGCGGGGCACGCTGCGCTCCCAGCTCTGCACGCACCGCTCGTGTGACCTGGAGCAGGTCAGTCACGCCCTCGGTGACCCGGCGTCAGACAGTCTGCGCGCACACCGCTCCAGGGCCGTCGGGAAAGCCGCAGATGGCAGGTCCTCAGGCAGGAGCCAGTGACAGCCGCGCTGCCCCAGTGCAGATGTGACGGTGTCCCTCCGGTTTCACTGCCTGGCCCCAGGGAACCGGGACTCGGCAGTCCTATCCCAGTCGCATGGCAGGACGGGGGCGGGGGCGGGAGCTCTCCCGGGATGGCGGCCTGGACCGAGTCAGGCCAGGGTCCAACCTCCCTGCCTGTCCAGGGGGCTGGGAGCAGCATCGGCCCCTCAGGGCTGGCCTGCAGACGGGACAGGTGCACGGGGCTGAGCGCAGGGGGCCCCGACGGACACACGGACACCTCTGTCCCCAGCGCGGGCAGCAGCAAGGGCAAAAGTGCTTCTCCTGCCTTCCTGCTCCGACCTCCCCTCACCCCCCAGACCCGAGCCTCATCACTTACTGACCGCACGTTGCTTTACGCTGTTTTCCATCAGCCGGGTGAGCCCTCGGTGAGATGAACCAGCATAAATAAATGAAGACACTCGATAAACCTCAGCGTGCAGGACCTCGCATCAATCACGGCCCCTGACCCCTGCCCTCGGAGAAAGTCGCGGTCAGCACTGTCCCCACCGCTCACGGACCCGGCTTCCCGACCTCGCGGTTCCAGCTGGGAAACGTCAGCGGCCCTGGTGATTTACTCCCCACGGCGGCTGGGGGGCTGCAGACGGTGGGCAAGGACAGGCATGCTCCTCCAAGCAGTGAGGAAGGCTCCGGGAGGCAGCCCACCCCGTCCCAGTGAGCTGTCCCGGCCACCTGTCCCCGCCAGACACACCGCAATAAGCCCGGGAGCCTGGGCCCTGGAAGTGCCCGTCACCGAGCTGGGGGCGGTGCCCGGCCTCGTGCAGGGGCAGGGCGCCCTGTCTCGCTGCACACAGGCCCCGAGAGCCTGGCTGCAGGTCTGTGCGCCCCTGGCGCTCGGCGGGAGGCCCGGCCCTCCGGTGGACAGATGGTGGACAGGTAGCTGGTGGGCATTTTAAGGCAGCTGGAAAAGCAGGCCCATTTCTGTTTTCCCAGAGAAGTCATCACAAACCACGGGCGGATCCTCCAGTGTTCCTCCCCCAGCAGTAGCCCTGCAGGTCTCACCAAGGCAGAACCTCGTCCCGAGAGGAGTCGGGGCTTCGGGGATCTACCGCAGGCCAAGACCAGGACAGCAGGGACACTGCTGCCCAGATCCTGCCTCGACCCCTGTATATGATACAGACGTGATGGTCGGAGCTCACGCAGCTGCTGTGAGGAGCAGAGAACCGTGAGCAACTCCTTGAAGAGAACTTCAAGGCCGCTCCACAGACCACCAGTCCATGGGGTCGCAAAGAGTCGGACACGACTGAACGACTGAACGGAACTGAGACGAGGGCGCCCCGTGTCTGCGATGCTCTGGGTGCCTCACGCTGTCTGCCAGCATCCACCTCAGGGTCTGGCCTGAGCCCTGCAGGCACTGGAGCCATCGGTGGGGGTGAGGGGGGCCCAACTCGAGTAGCAGCCAAGGTCTCTGTCCGAGCCGGCACGTCCTCCAGGGAGGAGGAGAGGGTGGGCTTGGAACCAGCACGAATGCTGGGCTTCTGCTGGGGCCACAGGCTCACAAGGAGGTCAAGCGAGAGCCTGGAGGGGGCTCCTGTTGGAGGGACTGAGGGTCCCTCCCCACAGCAGGGACACGAGGACAGGGAGTCTGCAGACCAGGCCAGGCCCCCAGGCCGAGACGGCAGCTTTGGCAGGAGCCTCGCCCACCACGCCGGCCCCCCAACAGCCTGGCCTCTGACACCCTGATCTCTTGGGAGCCCCTTTCTGCCTCTTACGTTTTTAACAGCCGAATTCGTGCTCTTCAGTTCCATGAGAACAGCAGCCAAGCAACCTTCAAATGCCCCCTCCGTGCACTTCTCTGAGCTCAGAGAGGCCACGGGCTGATGGCTGGAGGGGAGAGAAAGGCTTTATTAAATATGCATCTGCACCCAGCTGCGATTTTCCACTCCACCGCAGGGACACAGCCAGGCGCCCTGCAGACGCCCCGGTTTCCTCCACCCAAAGCACCAGGACTCAGCGACTTTCTCAGCGCCCAGGGCCCCTCGTGGCTCTCCGACGGGTGTACCCCCTCCCTGCCCGCAGAGGCGAGCACCATGTCTGGGAGTCCTGCCTGACCCTCCAGCCTCGGGTCTGCTCCCCTGGGGACGCCAGCTTGGGTGCCACCCCGTCTCTGGAGACTTTCCCATGTTCAGTCCTGGAGTCCTGGGAGGGGCCACGGCTTCCTCCTCCCCACCCCCAGGCCCCCCCTGTCCTGGTGGCGGCGACCCCCCAGCACGCAGGCCCCAGGGGTCAGGGCCTCTGTCCACTGACGTGACCTTCACCTGCTCAGGCAGGTTGCTAGGCCAGCCACACACCTCCAACCCTTGTGAAAGACCCAGAGGATGCTCAAGTGATGACCCCTCACCCATGTCACCCCACGGTCAGGGGGTGGGGGGGGGGGGGATTCAGCTGGTGGGAAAGGATGCACAGGACCAGACTAGGCAGCAGGATGGGACCCCACAGCCGGGAGGAGAGGAGCAGGATGGGGTGGGGGGAGGAGCAGGACGGGATGGGGGGAGCACCAGGAGGGGAGGAGCAGGATGGGATGGGGGTGGGGTGGGGAAGCACCACGAGGGGAGGAGCAGGACGGGGTGGGGGTGGAGTGGGGGGAGCACCAGGAGGGGAGGAGCAGGACGGGGTGGGGGAGCACCAGGAGGGGAGGAGCAGGACGGGGTGGGGGTGGGATGGGGGAGCACCAGGAGGGGAGGAGCAGGACGGGGTGGGGGTGGGGTGGGGGAGCACCAGGAGGGGAGGAGCAGGACGGGGTGGGGGTGGGATGGGGGAGCACCAGGAGGGGAGGAGCAGGACGGGGTGGGGGGGACGCTGCTGCTCACACAGCCCTGGGATGTGTGTGGTGAAACGCCTGTCTCAGGGGGGAGCAGTGTGCCGGGGGCCTGGGCCCCTCCCGGCAGCGGGCTGGGGGCGCATGCTGCCTCCCCCAGAAAATGCCCACCTTGATGCATATGGTCAACTACACAGCAACGGCTCTTGAACAAAAAATTGCAAAAGGAACTTCAAACCTCATTCCAAAAATAATGTGACTTTTCATAAAGCAGCAATCCGTGTCTCGATGGATTATAAAAGCCTCCCCCACCCTCTCCTCCTGCTCGGCGGCAGGCACGGGATGCCCCTCGCCAGGGCTGAAGCGCCCACTCTGAGGCCTGAAGATGGAGCCAGGCAGACGCGAGTCCGGTGAGGACCGTCACCCCGGTTCACAGAGGGCGTCTCCCGCCATGTCTTCACCTCGGGCAAGGAGAAGGGTGCTCGCGGAGTCCCTCATAAAGGGCACCCACCCACCAAGAGGCTGGCCCCCCCACACCAGGAGTCCGCCTCCAGCCAAGCAGGAGTCCCAGGGCCTGGTGGGGGGACGTGGCATCACGTCACTCACACGGACAGCACCTGCCCTTGGGACGCCTGCAGGGACACCCAGAGGGAAGAAGTGTCCACCCCACCTGCTCCGCCCACAGGCCAGAATCTGTGGCCGTGAGTCCTGACACCGTGCAGCGGGTGGCCTCCAGGTCAGACATCCTCCATCAGAAGAGAGGGTCCCGGGGCCAGACTGCAGTGGCAGTCCCTCCTTACCCGGCCAGTGGCCAAGACCAGCCCTGGTTTCCGCAGACGATTTCTGGTTCCTGCCAGTTAAGGGTCAGAAACCTGGAGACCTCTTTCAACTATAGACCAAGCTCGGTGCTGGCCTTTTCATAAGCGCTCTCATGTTTCATGCTCCTCAGGAAAGAAGGAGCATCCTTGTTTAAAATGCACACAAAGGAAACTGATGCACAGAGTCTGGGGTTTGAGGACAAACGGTGTGACCGGGACTTGCACCTGCGTCTGCTTGGCTCCAAAGGCAGGACTCTTGGAAGCACATCTAAGCCATCTCCAGACACCACACGAGCGCCAGGTTACTATCAACAGCTGCCGCCCAATCAGCGGCAGGAGGCAGGAGTCCCTCGTGGGAAATGCTGCTGGACGCGGCTAGGACACAGAGGTCCGTGCTCCACGCCTTGTTCCTACAGGACCTGAGCTCAAGCTGTTTTGGTCCAAAGCTTCTTGAGGCCGGGTGACTGAACAAGCCTCCCACACGGGTCCCAGGGTTTCCCCTCCCTGGGGAGTGGTAAACAGAGACCAGATCCCAGCGTGCCCAGAGCATCTCCAGGGGGACACGTCCACCGACAATCCCCAACTTCAGTGCAACTCAACAAAAGTAGCCCCGTGTCAGTCCCGGCAGTGGGAGCCTGGAGATGCTTTCAGTTCAGTTCAGTGGCTCAGTCATGTCCGACTCTTTGCAACCCCATGAACTGCAGCACGCCAGGCCTCCCTGTCCATCACCAACTCCCAAAATCTACCCAAACCCGTGTCCATTGAGTCGGTGATGCCATCCAACCATCTCATCCTCTGTCGTCCCCTTCTCCTCCTGCCCCCAATCCCTCCCAGCATCAGGGTCTTTTCAAATGAGTCAGCTCTCCGCATGAGGTGACCAAAGTATTGGAGTTTCAGATTCAGCATCAGTCCTTCCAATGAACACCCAGGACTGATGTCCTTTAGGATGGACTGGTTGGATCTCCTTGCAGTCCAAGAGACTCTCAAGCATCTTCTCCAACACCACAGTTCAAAAGCATCAATTCTGCACTCAGCTTTCTTTATAGTCCAACTCTCACATCCATACCCGACCACTGGAAAAACCATAGCCTTGACTAGATGGACCTTTGTTGACAAAGTAATGTCTGTGCTTTTTAATATGCTGTCTAGGAAAGGTCAACTTTCCTTTTAAGGAGTAAGTGTCTTTTAATTTCATGGCTGCAATCACCATCTGCAGTGATTTTGGAGCCCCCCAAAAATAAAGTCAGGCACTGTTTCCACTGTTTCCTCATCTATTTCCCATGAAGTGATGGGACTGGATGCCATGATCTTAGTTTTCTGAATGTTGAGCTTTAAGCCAACTTTTTGAATGACCTTAAATTTTAATGATTTTACGCAGACCCACCTGCATTTGTCTCACATCACACACACAGACGTACGTCAGGACAGACCCATGCCTCCCGTCAGTAGAGGCTCACTGCACACCGTCTCACACCATGTGGCTGGATGAGATTTCTGCAAGGTCTCACATATTTTGCCAAGTGCGTCCTGATTACTCTGATTCAGTGCAGAGGTTCACAGCCCTCACCGGACGGTTCGCTCAGCAAAGCCTCACGGGGTCCGCCCTGGTCCCCTGGGTGCTCTGGGTGCTGCAGACCGGGGTGGAGACGTCACCCAGCTGGGGGTCAGGGGGCGGATACATAAAACCGCTCAGAAAGTGATGGACATCTAGGCTGCAGGTCACAGGGTGGGTTTATTCCTGGGGTCTCCACCAGTTCACATTCCCACCCGCTCCCTTTTCTCCACACCCTCTCCAGCACTTATTGTGTGGAGGTGTTTTTTGATGACAGCCATTCTGACCTGCGTGAGGTGCTACAGACGAGCCCAGAGGAGACCAGGGACGCGGGAAGGAGACCACGGGGCAGCGTCCGCGTCCATGTCCACGTGCAAGGCTACTGCAGGAGGCCTCTGATCACTTTCAGCACCTGGCTTTTTTAAGGAGCTTCCAAACACGATAAGCACCTCACTCATCAAATGGCGGGTGGCGCGGTCTTCCCCGCCAGACCCACCTGGCCTAATGAACCTGCATCTCACCAGCGGCAGGGACGGCCTCTGCGTGCTGGGCTTGCCCCAAGCAGATCCACGTCTTGGGCTCCCGACGGCTGTGGGGGGCTCAATGCCCATGAAGGGTGGGACTCAAGGGCGTGGTGGTGATGGGGGGAGGGTGGGAATCAGCAGGCAAAGCTCCATGCTTTTTAATTATCCACAGATCCCAGTGGCAAAGGCTGTACTTATGTTCTGTCCAAGTTAAGGGATGATGAACAATTTTTCTCTGTGTACTTGGCAAATTGGCACTTGCTTCAAAATTATGAGAATAACAAGACCTTGTCTTATGAAGCCTTGGCTCTGAGGAGTTCAAAACCTTCCAGAGATTGCTGCAGCTTATCTTGTCACACTGCTGTGCCAAAAAAAAAAAACCCAAGCCTAAAGGGTCAGACTCACGCGCCCGATCAGCTGGGGCTAAACCGAGATGAGACAGAAAGCAATGCATCGGAAGGCTGCTGCTTTCCCCGGGGGTCCATGCAGGGAGGGGTTACAATTGCCCAGTAAGACGGTGTCTGTCAGGGTAGACATCCTGATGCACAGCAGACATCTGCAGGTCTCAGCCCGTGTCACACCCACTGCCGCTCACGCCACAGGCTGATGAGGCCCCAGGGACCCATGGTTCCTCCGACGCGTGGCTGGACCAGACTGGCCAGCCGGCAGTGAGGACCTCCCAGCGGCAGGAAGGTCGAGGCCTGTGGGACGCGGAACAGGGCACTGCATGGGCCTGGGCCTCAGTCCCGAGCCGAGGCCTCACGACGCAGGCGAGCCTCCGAACTCGGAGTGGCGCGTCCGCCGTCTCATCCCCCACATTTCTGCTACCAGACTCGTCCCCTTCATCAGAGGAGGAGCAAACATGAAAAACACCTCGTGCCAACCCACACGGAACTTCACAGTCTCGCCAGAGAAGAAAACAGGGTCTACTCATCTCTAAAGAGAGCCTACTTACCCCCCAGATTCACTCCTTCCCTTCCTCCTTCTTCACAAAGACGGTGAGTTGCTTCTGGGGCCAGCTGAGAGGAAGCGGGTCCCCCCCGAGCTGTCCGGCCCTGATCAGAGCTAGACTCCCGGATGGGACCCAGATGGCCATGCAGGGCCCCGAGAAACAGCGCTGCCTGCAAAGAGGGGGCGAGAAGGGAGTGGCCGGCCCAGGACGCGGCTGCGCCTCCTCCCTCCTCCATCTCAGCTTCGCCCCATGAGCCTGGCTCAGAACCTCAGGGAGCCGGGAGGACGTGGGAGGCGCTCCGAGAGGCAGAGGGTCAGACACCCGGGGGTCCCTTTCCCCTTCTGTCTCCTGAACCTGCCCCATGGGGGCTCCACCCACGAAGCTAGTCTCAGCCACGGGGGGGAGCGCCTAAAATGCCCAGAAGAAAACCCGCCTCTCTCTGGGGATCTGGGACATTGGCCCCTGTGTCCCAAAGGATTTGGGGGCGGGGGGGAAACCTTGCTTATTTTTCTTTTTTTTTCCTCTTGCAATTTGCCCTGAAAACCACCCAGTCCTGTGCAACTTAGGAAGGAGAGGGCTGGATCTAAGACTCAGCAGAACAAGAACTTTCCAGCCAAAGAACTTTCCAGGGGCCACTGGGGATCCCTGCAGGGAGTGGGCCTGAAGAAGCACTGACTCTGTGGGGGGCTGACCTGTAGCTGTGCGGGCAGCGGACGTGCCCGGGGAAGCGCGGCGAGGCTTTGAAAGCAGCCAAGGGAAGGCCCGATGCTGAAGCTGAAACTCCAACACTTTGGTCACCTGATGCAAAGAACTGACTCACTGGAAAAGACCCTGATGCTGGGAAAGACTGAAGGCGGGAGAAGGGGACGACAGAGGATGAGGTGGTTGGATGGCATCACCGTATCAAAGGACGTGGGTTTGGGTGGACTCCGGGAGTTGGTGATGGACAGGGAGGCCTGGTGTGCTGTGGTTCATGGGGTCGCAAAGAGTCGGACACAACTGAGCGACTGAACTGAAGGCCCTGGTGAGAGCAGAGGTCTCGCTCTGGAACATTTTCACGTTTTTTCTCAAAAGGCAGCACCCTTCACCCCATCACCCGTTACCCGCACCCTGCCCAGCAGCCAGAGGAAGGTGAAGGTCACACGTGGGAGCCGTCCCCCATTGGATGGCAGCGGGTGTGACAGGCTGAGCGGCCCTCCCTGACAGACCCCTGGGGCCCCCCAGCGCGTCCCGAAGGTCCCCACCCCACCAGAGCTTGGGTTGCATGGACGCTCGCAAGGGCCCGAGGGCGTGGGGTCGAGGGCACCTCCCTGCCTCATCCCCCAGGCCTGATCCCAACTTGGAATTTCTGGTCTTTGGGTCGTTCCAAGGCAGTAAGTCAGAATCCTCTTTCTTTCATAACAAGAAGAAACAGTTTACACACAGCAGGCAAGAGACGTAAATGAGAGTTGTCTGTCTCCCCCGTGGATGGGGAGAGGAGGAGAGAGGTGCAGACTTGTGCATGGAACGGTTCATGCTGGATCCACCGGAGTCAGACCCGGCGGCCGGGGAGGGAGCTGGTCCACTGGGGCCCCGTGAGAGTGCTAAATCAGCGGCCTTGCAGACTCCTGACTTCAGTAAACCAGCAGGTGGAAGTGTGTAACAATGACATTTGAGTGAGACTGATTCACGTGCATCTTCCATCTTGGCCACAATCGCCAACATCAGTGATCAACGTGACAAAGTGGGGGCGGGGAGAAGACCTTCTTTCTTGAGTAGACGTCAGGCTTCCATCATCAGCTCCTCCTCCAGGTTGGGCAGGGAGTCTTCTTGTCCTGCATGGTCAAGCTAGATCCACACATACTGTTTTTCATGTGTCCTGGGCCCTTCCCTGGTAGCTCAGACAGTAAAGCCTCCACCTGCAATGCAGGAGACCTGGGTCGGGAAGATCCCCTGGAGGAGGGCCTGGCAACCCACAACAGTGTTCTTGCCTGGAGAATCCCAGGACAGAGGAGCCTGGTGGGCTACAGTCTATGGGGTTGCAGAGTCGACTGAGCGACTACCACCCCCAGGGATCATGAACTTGCTGAGCCCACTGCGCAAGATGTCGGGCTCACGCCACCCGTGTCATTGTCTGTGGACACGTCTCGGGTGTCCCGTGTTCTTGGGCTTCTCTTGTGGCTCAGCTGGTAAAGAATCCACCTGCACTGCAGGAGACCTGGGTTCGACCCGAGTTGGGAAGATCCCCTGGGGAAGGGAACAGCTACCCACCCCAGTGTTCTGCCTGGAGAACTCCACGGACCCTACAGTCCACGGGGCCAAAAAGACTCGACTGAGCGACTCACTTCACTCAGGCCTCTGCGGCACGGTTTATGGTTCTGTTGGTGAGCACGCCGGTGTGGTTTTGTGGGTGAGCGAACCTGCTTTCTTGAGGGATCACCTACTTACAGGGGTCTCCGTATCTTTCTATTTACAGTCACCCGGTGGGATTCACTATTTCATCACCTTTTTGTCCCTTCACTCTGTCCCTGCCATTTAGACGCCAGTATGTGTAACTACGAAGAGCCAATCAGAGCTGACCCGTCACAGGAGAAGCTGGGGGAGACGCCCTGGTTGCTTCCACCAGGAAATGAACTCTACTCGGCGATGGGGTCAGGGGGAGGGGGGCATAACACATACACTTCAGAGGGATCCAATCGGGGGAGTTTGCCGGATGCACAAGGTAAGACGCTGTGGGGGCCGTGTGTGCCCTTACAGAGAGCAGAGCAGCAGCTCAGCCTGGGAAACACGGCCCTTCAGGAAGGGGCTGTCCTCAGGAACCAGGGTCCCGGGCACGGTCTCTGAGCACAGCGGGGACGAGGGTCCCAGCGACTGCGCCCTCATGGGGACCGCCTGTAAGAAGCTGCCGCCTGCTGAGGTTCTGCACCGGGCCAGGCGCTGTCCTTCCCACACGTTACACCATGAACCCCAAGAACACGGCTGTGCCCGTGGGTACCACTGTCCCCACAGGACAGATGGGGAGACAGAGGCACGCAGGAGGTGGCGGCCTGCCGGCAAGAAGCTCAGGCCAGAGTCCGGCTCCACGAGGCGCCCCGCACGTGCAGAGCCTGTCAGAACCTCCGGAGACCCCAGGGGCGGGCCGAGCGGATCCTCCCCCTTCATGGGTGAAGCCGCGTGTGCGCAGTGAAGATGCCGACGGCGACTCCTCAGTCCTCATCCAGCTCCTCCTCCCCGGGAGTGGGTCCCGGGGGCACTCCTGCTCAGAGGGGGCCCCGGGGTCAGGGGACATTTCCAACGCACGAGGCGGGGAGACTGAAGGTGAGGATTTCACGAAATTCAGATGGCTGCGGGTGGACCCTCTGCTCTTCGGAGGCTGGTCTGCCACTGGCTGGGGACATGGTCTGGAGGAGGAGGGACTCCAAGAATGTGAGGCCGGGGGGTTTCTGGGGCTCCGGGACACTGCCCTGGAGCCTTCAGCCCCAGTCACACACCCACCCACCCGTCCTGGGCCTCCAGGAGCACGGGGGATGAGGCCCAGTCCTCTAGGGGGCATGCAACGGCCAGGCTCCCGTCCAGGTCTCAGCAGGATGACTGTCTGAAGGCGCCTGGGATGGATTCCAGCCTGCACGGCGATGCATCAAGTCTTGCTCTACCACCGTGCCTGCCCTCTTGGATTATTAAGCGCTTTCAGTCCCTCCACATAATAGGTCGACCCCAACGCACTGAAGTTTAAATAAAGCCATAACTCACCTTAACCTGTCTCCCATTTAATCGCACCCAACATCTTGAATATTTCAAAAGGAGCACACATTAGCAGTTTTTAGACAAGGATGTGTGAAGGTCACGCGGATTTATCCCCGCAGCAGGATGATGGATGCGGCCCAACTGTCGTGAAGACAGAGTGCCCGCGGTGTGTGCGCCTGACGGGCTGTGTCCCCGGGGAGTCTGCGCGGCCCCCGCAAGCTGGGGTCCGCACCGGCTGCGGGGGAGCAAACGTCCATGGGGTCCTGTTCCCATCAGCGTTTTGTGAGGCAGTTACTCGTATCTCAATCACCCAGGCACGGGCGCGCCAAGCGGCAGCCCTGGAACCTCCCGGAGGAGGCAGGCAGGCCAGCAGCCACAGGAGGGCAGGGCCCAGGGACCCCCGCTGCGCCTAACAGCACCCCGTGGGGACCATCGCCGCTCGGGCATGGGGTCCCTGGGCTCAGACTCAGTGTCCTAACGTGGGTGCCCCAACCGACACCCTCCGTTGCTTTGAATGAACATACTAAACTGTGAGCTCTTCAGAGCCGGGGCACAGTTTTATCTGCTTTATGTCCCTAGTATTTCCACATCTCCAGGGCCCAAGCCCCACATACGTCTGCTCCAAGTGCTGTGCTCAGAGGCTCAGTCGTGCCCGACTCTTTGCCCGCCAGGGTTCTCTGTCCATGGGATTCTCCAGGCAAGAACACTGCAGTGGGTTGCCATTTCCTTCTCCAGGGGATCTTCCCGACCAGGGGTCAAACCTGCATCTCCTGCATCTCCTACATTGGGAGGCCGATTCTTTACCCACTGACCACCTGGGAAGTCCATGTTTGCTTAAGGGAAGACCTCAATGCTACTTTGTCACAACCCTGTGTGACCCATCCTCTGGCACTCTGCCCTGAACACCTGCAAGACATCAAGCTAACTGTTGTCATTCCACTGTTTAACAGTATTCCCTTAAAATTTTTTAGTTTTAAGATGCAGATTGTTTTTGGTGTGAAGTCTGTTCACTGCGTACAACACTCACTCGAGGTTTATGGGCCCAGCTCCATGTTGTTATTATTGCTGCTGCTGTTCATGAGCAAGTGAGTGAAGTCTGACTCCTTGCGACCCCATGAACTATACAGTCCATGGACTTCTCCAGGCCAGAATACTGGACTGGGGAGCCTTTCCCTTCTCCAGGGGATCTTGCCATCCCAGGGATCAAACCAGGGTCTCCCACATTGCGGGCGGATTCTTTACCAGTTGAGCCGCAAGGGAAGCCCAAGAATATTGGAGTGGGTAGCCTAGCCCTTCTCCAGTGGATCTTCTTGACCCAGCAACTGAACTGAGGTCTCCTGCATTGCAGGCAGATTCTTTACCAGCTGAGCCACAAGTGTTGTTCAGTCACTAAGTCATGTCCAACTCTTTGCAACCCCATGGCCTGCAGCAGGCCAGACCTCCCTGTCCCTCACTATCTCTCAGAGTTTGCCCAAACTCCCAGAGTTTGCCTAGCACTGTGCTAGGTACAGATGATTTGAGGATAAGCATAAAATATCCCCATTAAGAAAAAAGAAAACTCTCACATAACCAACTTTTCAGCTTTAGGAACTAGAGAAAAGAACTAAAGCTCAGAGTTAGCAGGGGGAAGAAAATAACAAAGGTAAGAAATAAATAAAACAGAAGCCCGAAAGATGATAAAGAAGATCCACACAACTAAGCCATTTCTCTGAAAAGTTCAACAAACCTGGTAAACCTTTAGCCAAATTCCCCAAGAAAAAAAGAGAGGATGAAAATTTAAACAAACAGAAGTGAAAGAGGAGGTGTAATGACTGATACCACAAAAATACAAAGGATAAGAGATCACTATCGACAATTAAGTGCCAACAAACGGGGCAACCAGAAGGCATGGGAACATTCCTAGAAACACGCAACCTACCAAGAAGTGGAAAATCGACACAGACCGACCGTGAGAAGGATTGAACCAGTCACCAAAACCCTCCCAGTCATTACATCTGGAGTAAGTTTACTGAACACCTGGACCTGTGTTCATCAAACAATCTAAGCTGTGCCTTCAGGACGAGGGCCTTCTCTTTCTACAAACGAGGAAACCATGGCCTGGGACACGGAGATGCCTCCGAGTGCCCATCAGCAAAGGGGCTGTGAGCCTGACCCAGGCCCTCCGGCGGCAAACCCACGTTCCCCATCTCTGCTTGAAACGATGCTGTGAGGTGGGCATGAGAGGTGCAGGGTCAGCAAGGCCGTCAGGCCCCCTCCCGGGTGTGAACGGCCCCGGGGACAGCACAGAGCCTGCCCTGACCCAGGCAGGCGGCACAGTGGTCCGGGTGGCATCAGGGACCCGCCCGCAGCAGCACTGCCATTCTCCGCCCTCGGGGGCGCCGCGGAGCCCTGCAGCTGTCTCCATCTGTCGGATCAAAACGGAACACAGTGAACGACCCCCGGGGCCAGCGGCAGAGCTGGTCCCCTATATAAACATGAGTATCTGTGCCCAGGCCCGCTCCAGGACCGTCTTACAGGACGGCCGTGCCTCCCAGGGAGAATGCGACATCCCCGGTCACGGTCAGAGCTGAAGGCCGCCCCGCAGCCTGCAGAGACGGTCAGGGGCCAGCTGGCCGTGCCCTCAGCAGCACCTGGGGGCAGGACGGGGAGTGTCCACCACAAGCCAAGTTGTCTCCCCCACCCCACCGGTCGCGGGTTCCCGGCCCTGAGCAGCTCTTCTTGGGGCACCCAGCACCCCCCGCCACAGCCACCACGCAAGCACCATTGAGAAGGCACCAAATGACAAGGGAAAGGCATTTCCGACATAACCGTTTTCCACACGCTTATTAAGCATAAGACACAACAGGGCGTGAATTACTGTGCAGAACTCCTGCCTCGAAGCAATTTTAGACACAGAAGTTGGAGGATTCATCATTATCATATATGCAGTCCTGTTTTTCTTTTTGCGCGCTTATAAAAAAAATCCTGTCTAAATCTCCTAAACCCATCATGGCCACATCAAAAAGTGGATGGGCCATCAGCTTTGATAGCTGAAAATAAGGCAGCTGCTGGGCGGGAACAGCACTCACGAGCTCCTCTCTCCGGTCTGGATTCTGTTACTGGAGAGGATGATAAATATCCTGTTTCTTATCGTGCTTAAAAAACAAGGCTGGAGAAGGAAGCCACTGTACATGGCCCTGCAGGTGGGGTACCAGGGGGCAGGGCCGCCAGGCGGACATGGTCCAAGGGTCCGGCGTGGCCTCCGCGGTGCATACAGGCTTCACGTCCCTGCACCTGCTCATGACCCCGCGGAGCCCTTCCCCGGGCCCGGCACCAGACCCCTGGCCCTAGGGGACTCCCTCACGCCCCAAGGGCCCGTCACATCCCACCATGTGCAGGGAGCTCCGCCAAGACCCACGGCTCAGCGCCTGCCAAGCACCCTGGCCTCCTGTCGGCTCTGACATCTAGCTGGTCAGAGGCGATAGAGCTGGAAGGCAGGGAAAGCACAGATCCACACAGCTGACCCACTGCACACCCTCCAGCTCTGGGGGAGGGCGGGCCTCAGGCAGTCACTCACTTCCCTGCAGCCGCGGGCCCAGGGCTCACCCACGCCACACCGGCCCCTCCGGGCCAGGCCGCTGAGCGGTTTTAGCCTGAGCGGCTCGTGGCCTGTGGTGACAGAACACAGGCTGACGTCCCCTGCCTTGGCCCCTCTGAACTGCTGCTCACAGCCCACCCCTAGGGCAAGCGCCTCCCACACGAGACAGTCAGAGCCGCAGACGAGGACACTTCCTGGTGCACCTGAGCCAGGAGAGCCGTGGCAATGAGGGGCTTCCTAGGATGTGCGTGGGACTCGGGTCAGTCCCGGCCCATCTCTCTAATGTTGGGTGTGTACACAGCACCCCCGCTTCCCCTAACTGAGGAGGTTAGTGACAAAGGACAGCAGTGGTCCCTGCTGACCCCGTGAAGACACCTGAGAGCCAGAGCAGGATCCTGGGGCCCAGGAGGCCCCCCACCCATGGCCCTCTCCCCCACAGGCCGGTCCTGGGAGGGCAGCAGCGGCTCCAGGCTGGCAGAGGGCAGGGACAGCTCTCAGCCCCAGCCAGGGGCTCATCAGCTGAGCAGAGAACACAGCTATGCTGGAGAAGTCCAAGTCACCCCTACACGGCCCAGCACGTGGATCCCAGGTCAAAGGGGCCAGGGCTCCGCCCCCGGAGCACACACACACCCCCGCCGCTGCAGCCCCTCTGGATGCCCCCACCTTGGGTGGGAAAGCCCGGCCCTGTTCTGATGGAGCCACAGATGCCCCCGACCCCCTCCTGCCCGACGTCCCTCCAGGCTTGATAACCTGGGGAGACTTTACAGGGGTGTCCCAAGATCAGATCTGTTGCCCCTGGAGATGTGCAAGGCCAAAGGACAGCAACCACGCTGGCCAGCAGGGCTCTGTAATCTGACACCCTCTGACCGGTCTCTGGCCTGGGTCTGCTCCACTGGGACTGGGCTTCCTTGTGGGGGTCTTCCCTATCGCAGCCCTGCACTCAGGGGTGATGCGGGTCTCAGGAGACAGAAGGGTCACCTGGCTCGCTGGGGCACCGCCAGTGGGCAGAGCAAAGGGACCAGTGTTGCCAACACTGACGCCTGGTGAAAGCAACTCAGTTTACAGCCGCACGCCGGCTGGGTGCTGAGAACCTGCCGTCCTCCTGGAACCTTCTGGGCTCTGACATCCCGATCACGGGAGCTGGCCCCCCTCCTGCTGACCCTGGGGTGGGAGTTGGGGGAAGGGGGTCACGCTGAGCCCTGGACACACCGGCTCAGGAAGGAACATGTTGAGTGAAGCCAGACCCAGGGAACACGTTCTGTTCTCATGTGAAACCTGGAAAATCGTCATTTCATCATCTTCCCAACCGGATACCTAAGTGTAGGAGCCCCAGCCAAGCTGAGCAGCCTGGCGCTGCCCTGCTGGCGGTGTGAGAACGTCTCCTCTTGCCCACCCTGGGCCCAGGCAGCCTGCCTGCGGGCCAGGAAGTCTGGCTTTTATTTCTGTCTAGGGGAGTCCGGCCGGAGGAGTGCAGAATCACCAGAGATGCCCACACAGAACACGGCCGGGGGCAGTGGGGGAGGGGGACTCAGAAGTCCTGTCCTGTCCTGCCTCTACCCGTGGCCCAGCAACCGTTCACCAGACACTCGTCTCCCTGCTTCCTCCCCGTGAAACCCTCCCCTCCCAACGCTCAGGAGCCTCCTGCCCAGCCCATCCTGGGTCCTGCTTTGCTCACAGGTACTCTGCACCTATGTGATTAAATCTGGTTTTCTCCTGTCATCTGTCTCGGGTTAATTCTTACATCAGACAGAAGAAACTAGAAAGGGGACAGAGAAGATTTTACCTTTCCCAACACATATGGTCTCTGATCTTTTGCAATTTTAAACTATTTTAAAATGGACTGACCTGCATGTGTTCCTATTAAGATGACCGTTAATGGTCACACACACTTAGGGTCCTAAGTGCGCTACAGGATAAATTAATTTACTCCCGCATAGAGCTGTGAAGGCATCCAGCTCTCATGGGAGGTAACTGAGGCATCCCCAGGGAAATGCCGTGACTGGCACTGGGCTGAGGCTGCGCCCCAGAACCCTGTGCGGGGTGGGGGGGGGGCATCACTGTCTCTGCCCAGCCCTGCGGAAGGGGCACATCTCCTGCAGTCCTGTTGGACCCCAGCAAAGGGCTGTCTGAGGAACCGCTGCACACGACTCGGGCAGGAAGACGCGAGGCTGGCCGAGGGGCTGGAGTCCCGGGAGGCGCCTCAGAGGAGAGGTGACAGCCGGACTCGGTCTCAGAGGACGGCTGGGGACAGCAGGGGAGGCGGACTTGGGAGAGACGGGTGGGGGGGCAGCTGCCGTGACTGGGTGACGGCGACGCTGGAAACTCCGGGTCGCCGCGTGTCCGAGTCAGGACTGCTGGACGTGAGGGGTGCCCCTCCTGGGTGCAGTGGGTCTGCGTGTTGCCCTGCTGTGGCCGTGTGGACGGTCCTAGGCAGGGCTCAAGTCCACCTCGGGCTGGAGCCGCCAGGGAGCAAGCTTCAGTTTTTGAGTTTTGAGGATCGAGGGTCTGTAGCCCACCTCCCCTTTGCCTTGACTCTGGGGTCCTACGTGGCCCGCGGACCGGAGGGGCCCTCGGCTGAGAGCCGGAAGGCCGGCCCGGGCCTCATCCCAGCACCAATCCAGCAGAGTCTATACGGGTTCAGTGTGAGCCAGGTGCCGCGCTGGACCTCCAGCGTCCAGTCAGGGGAGAGCGCGCAGGGCCAGCCTCTCTGAGGTGAACGCGCCCGCCCCACGGAGGCGGACCGGGCTCGGGGCTTCAGGGCGCCCGGGGGAGGCGGTTCACCGACAACCTGGGACTTAGCGGGAAGGCGTCCGGGTGACCGAGGCAGGCCATGACCGCGCGGTGACAAGGGGGCCATCAGCCTCACAGCGCAGGGCCCCGGGGCACGTGGCGCCCAGGGACGAGGCCTCGGCCGGCGGAGACCCTGGGCACCTACAGCGCCGGCGGCGCCGCGGAGACGGGAAGACGGGGCGGAGCCCCAGGGAGGACGCCAAAGCCGCCCCGCTGCTTTTATTCCATTTAATCTCGCGAGAAGACGGCGTCGACGTCAAGGAAACAACTCACAGGGAAACGCCCAACGCCTCTCAGAGCGGGAGGAGGGAGCGCGCCCCACAGTCTCCGGGGCAGAGACGGAAGGGCGCAGAGGTCGGCGGGCAGGGGCACTGTCACTGTTCGCGGCGCCGCGTCCGACGGCGCTCTGCCTGGGAAGCCGGGCCCCGAGGCAGCCCGGCGCTCACAGCAGGATGTGGTACTTGAGCGCTCGGGGCACGCGGTTGATGACGAGCCGCCCGTCATAGCTGAGGGAGGCGAAGAGCCAGGGGTCGGCCGAGGACCAGTCCACGGCGTACACGCTGTCCTCGTGCTCCTCGTAGGTGGCGACGACGCTGTCCTGCGGGGGCTCCTGGCTCCTGCAAGGCACCCACACACGTGAGAGGCGGGCGCCCTGCCCCCAGCCGCCGAGGGCCAGGGCGAGCGGGGCGGCCATCTGCTGCCCGACACCTCCTCCGGGGGGCGGAGCCCAGGGCCACCCCAGAGGCGTCTCAGGGCCGTGGGGGGCTGTGTACTGCCTGATGCCTCCGAGCCCAGGGCCACCCCCACAAGGGCTTCAGGGCCGTGGGGGGCCATCTACTGCCCAACACCTCCTGGGGGCAGGAGCCCAGGGCCACGCCAGAGGGCCTACGAGCCACGGTGGGGTGCCATCCACTGCCCGACACCTCCTCCATTAGCCCTGGAGCAGGACGTGTCTGTGCTCAGGGGACAGTGGCTGAGCGGAGAACGGCTAATGGTCTGGTGGCATCTGACAGAGGGACCTGGGGACCAAACAGCACAGTCCGGGGGTGGGTGGAGGCAGCCCCAGCCTAGACCAGGTGCAGGGCTGGCCGGAGCCAGTGCGAAGGGCCAGCAGGTCCTGCCTGGGGTTGTGACTTCCCCATTAACCCCCACAACCAGGACTCCCGCGTCCGTTCCCTAGGACGCTGGACCGAAGGCAGACACATGCAGACGCACGCAGACCCCTGGGAGCCTGTGGAGCTGCGCCGCCTGCAAGCAGGCAGAGACCACAGGCCTGCAGCACGCCAACAGATTCTCCACCAGAGGGCCTCGGGGCACTGCCCCCATCTCGCCAGCGCTCCCTGCCCACAGGGCTCTCAGCACGCAGGACCCTTCTCGGGAGACCCCACCCCACCTGCCCCCTGATCTGGGGCTACCAGACCCTTCTCAGGAGACCCCGCCCCGCCTGCCCCCTGGTCCGGGGCTACCAGACCCTTTTCGGGAGACCCTGCCCAACATGCCCCTCCTCCCGGGCTCTGGAGACCCTTTTTGGGAGACCCTGCCCCACGTGCCCCCTGGTCTTGGGCTCAGGATCCCACTCATCCCCTGGCCCTGTCCTCCCAGGAAGCCAGCCTGCGGTGGTCAGCGGGCAGCCTGGAACAAACCCTTCATGTAAGTCCTCAGGGGGATCCCGTTTCCCGATTCACTAAGACGTGTGGACCAATCCCAGGAGCAGGCTGGCAGGAAACCATGGGGCACCTCACGATGATGCCATCTCCGGGCACGCCTGCCAGCCGCACGCCTGCCTCCACTCCTGGCGAGCCTGTCTGAAGCTGCCACGTGCAGGTGGGACCCCTGGCTGTGTCCGCAGTACAGACAGGACACAGACCCCAGCCTGCCGAGAACAGGGAGGACAGCAGAGAAGGCCCAAGCCCTGCACGGGGCGGGTCGCTGGCCTGAAGCCAGCGCAGCTGCGCCTGCATGCCGTATCCCGGCGTCTGAACAGGACAGCGGCATCAAGGAAGGCGATCGACAGGTCGCTACCAAGTCAGCATCTCACACGGGGGTCTTTCCCTGTAATTCAGTTGGTAAAGAATCTACCTGCAATGCAGGAGACCTGGGTTCAATCCCTGGGTTGGGAAGATCCCCTGGAGAAGGGAAAAGCTACCTACTACAGTGTTCTGGCCTGAAAAATTCCATGGACTGTATATCCATGGGGTCCCAAAGAGTCAGACACGACTGAGGGGCTTTCAGTTTCACTTGTGAGGTCAGGGGCAGCGGAAGAAATCAGACAACGAAAGACAGTGAGGATGCTCAGGACAGAAAGACAAGCCCTCTTGTGCTCCAGGGCTCAGGCTGCCTGACTCCAGAGCCCCCACCCCAGATCCGACTCCAGGGAGGCCTGAATCAGGCTCCCTCAACACCAGAAAGCAGCCACCGCACATGAAGACACGTCCTCCCCAGAGACAAGGGGCATCTCCAGCCCTCCCGGGTGCCGCCGCCCTGTGTGAGCCCCAAAGCCCAGGGCCCTATGAGTCTCGGGGCCTGGGCCCCAGGGTGAAGAGAGGGCCCCTGAGGAGACGAAAGTAGGGCTTGAAGGTCCAGGGAAAAGACGCTACCAAGCATGGTGCGGCTGTCAGGACAAGCATCATGTGGAGGTCCCAGCACTGCCTCGGGCTCTCGGGGGAAGCGGCGTGGGGGACGGACCAGGTCTGGGCCTGTGGTCCTGCCCTGCTACCTGCCAGTGGGACAGACGGGCCACAGCCTGGCCCAGGACAGCACAGCGAGGAGGGACACCCACCGCAGTCTCCCCCACAGGGTGTCCGGAGGGCCAGCAGGGGTCATGGCTCACTCCCGAGGGTACAGACCAGCCGCAGTCCTGACAACCTTACCCGTGAAGCTCAGTAAGAACGTGGACACACACGTGTCTCAGAGGCCACACCAGACGGCATTGCTGACCCGCCCGACTCCATCACCCACGACCTCGCACCTCCCCGTGTGGACGCATCCGACACTAGCCACAGGGACCCGGAGACGCTCCCGCACGCCAGGGCCGCCCGCCGCAAGCACGTACTTCTCCTCCAGACGGCGCTCCTCCTGGTCACTCAGGTCATCATCGTCCACCAGGTGGCCGAAGGGCTCGGAGGAGATGGACACCATGTTGGAAAGGATGACTCTACTGTCGCTGCTGCCCGTGAGGACCAGCTGGTCGTGCGAGTGGTTGTAGCGGACGTTCCACACCCTGGGGGGGTTGGGGGGACAGGACGCTGGTACCACCGGCACCCCGGACAGGGCAGCCTCTCCCGCTCGGGCCAACACCAGGTGGTGTTCAGCGGGGGCAGGCTCGTGGCGCAGCCTGAAACCCTGTAAATCCTGACTGACAGAGACGTGACCACACGGCAGCAGGGACCGCGGGGGACTCACTGGCCTCCCTGCAGTGTGCACACAGGCCTCCCCGAGCGCCAAAGGCCGTAACTGCCCGAAGCACAGTGCGGACCAGAGACGACCGAGACGCGAGCCCGCCCCAGGCGGCCTCCAGGAACACTGCCCCGGCCAGGGCTGCCCTCCCGTCTGCTCTGGTCACCAGGCCCTGCTTCCTTCTGACCCACAGGACCCGAGCTCACTGTGCTGGGCCGCCCACCGGGCAGGTGCTGCAGACCCCGGGCTGGGGGCTGGGCAGCAGACAGCCAGACAGCCCACTCGGGTCCAGGGGATGGGAGCTTCTTCCCGGACTGCAGGAATGACTGAACTGTCTAAACTGTACTCCAGCATTCAAATGGTAAATACACACATGTGCACACACAGAAGTGTACATGCCCACAGCAGTACAGATATGCACACAGATGCAAGCACACACGTGCACACACAGATGTGTACATGCACACAGCGGTACACACTAACACACAGACATGAGCACACAGAGGCACACATATGCACACAGACAGAAGCATACATGCAAACGTACATAAGCACACAAACACGCACACACGTGCTTTATTTGGATAAAAACTGGCTCACTATGCCCGATTTTCTCCAACTTGATCCTTTTCACTTCTTAGCAAAAAGCCCCCAGCACGTGGTGAACACACAGAAATGACACGCTGGGGAGAGCGGTGGGTCTTGGGCGCACTGCGCGCTGCATGCGCAGCCCTGCCTCACGCCCTCGCCGTGCCCCACACGGCTGCTTCTGGACCGACCTATCCACCCTCCTACCACTGGGCACGGGGGTCTCCACCCCATGCATGGCACATAATGCCCCAGGAACATCTGTGCACGTTCATTTTTGCATACGTGAACCGGCACCATTTCAAGAGAAGACAGAATCTAATGTTTTTCTTTCTCTACGTTTATGAATCACATTCAGATTTGGAATTAGTATTTCTTTAGGAAAAATAAAACTGGTTGATTGAATGAGTCACAGCAGCACAAACTAGGCTGGTTTCTGCCTTTCCAAATGGTGATGTAATCAGCAAAACAAATCACCTAATTACCGCCCCCCCCACCAGGCACGCACCAGTGGGAGTGCTCCTCCAGGGTCTTGACGGGCTCGGCGACGTTGCGGGTGTCCCAGAACCTCACCTTGCAGTCATCCCCACAGCTGGCCAGGTAGTACTGCTTGTTGGGGTTGAAGTCCAGGTCCCGCACCAGCTGGCCATGGGCGCTCTCAATGCAGTAGATCTGGCTGGGGGCGGGGACGCACAGGTAAGAGGAGGAACATGGGAAGCACTGCCCCCACAGCCCCTCCCAGACCCCAGCCAGCGTGGGGTCCGGGCTGGGGCTCCTGCTCGCTGGCCGCGCCTGTGACCCTGCAGACGGGCTGGCTGGCGGCTCTCAATGGGGCGACCTGGCATCCTGATGAGAGGGAGCCGGAGGGAGGGAACTGTCACGGATGAGCAGAGACAAGACTGGACAGCGCACACAGCCCACGTCGGGAAGGACCAGAGAGACAGAAAGTGCGTGGAACAAGAATACGGCGCTGACGCTGTCGGGAGCCGCAGAGACAGAATAGGAAGGAGAAGCAGGAGAAGCTACAGAAACACTGAGGGAGACACTGCCTGTCACGGCCAGGGCCGTCCCTCATCCATACACACAGCCTGGGTGTCGACTCAGCGGCAGGAGAGGCTGAGTCGGCCACAGCTGTTTAGAGTGCATGTGTGCACATGTGTGTGTGCATACACACGCACGTGTACACAATGCACATAGCACACATGCACATGTGTGCCCACATGGGTACATGTGTCCACACATACAGGTGTACATGCCCACACGCGTGTGCACAGAGAAGGACATACATGCAGGTGTGCACACATGTACACAATGCACACAGCACACGTGCACATGTGCCCGCACATACAGGTGTACATGCCCACACACGTGTGCACAGAGGAGAAGGACATATGTGCAGGTGTGCACACATGTACACAATGCACATAGCACATGTGCACGTGTGCCCGCATGGGTACATGTGCCCACACATACAGGTGTACATGCCCACATGTGTGTGTACAGAAGAGCAGGCACACACACAGGTGTACAGACCTGGCTGATTCCCCACCGCCCAGCTCCAAGCCACCCCTCACAGGGTATGGAATTACACTGTCCTGTCTCTACAGCGACCCCCTCTCACGTCACACACCCAAACCAGAGGAGTGGTCGTCCTGAGGTGGGACAGCGGCTTTGAACAAGAGGCCTGCGTCCAGCAGGATGGACAAGGCCTAGCCCGGCCCCACAACGTGCCCGTCGCTCCGCCCTCTCCGCATCCTGCTGGGGGGGGGGTGTCACATGCTCCCTGCAGCTCCCGGGGGGCAGCTGCCTCACCTGGCACCCCAGACCTCCACGCTCCTGCTCATGACAACGACTTTAGTCCTTTTCATCTTTTCTCCCAGATTGGGTTTTCCAGCCCAAAGCCACTTTAAAATCTGGAACTGGTTTCTACATCCTGTACCTTTCCAATAGCCTAGTAATTTCTCCCTAAACAAGAGGCCCAAGCCTCAAGATCTTGCAAGGGAAGCAGGGAAATGGATAAAATTAAGTCTGCCAGGGTCCTGGGGCCTGCAGAGTGCTGACTCAGGCTTTCCTGCCAGCTCTGGGCACAGTGGTCTGAACACAAAAGCCCCGTGCACCCCCGGAAGCAGCCAGCCGAGGAGGCACACGCAGTGAGCAGGAAAAAGACCAAGGAGGTATAGAGGCTGTCTGCAGGAAAGGGACCGTGCGGAGAAGAGTCTGGTGCACCCAATGCCCAGCACCCCAGGGACACCCTCCAGGGACGGCGGGCAAGGGGGCTGCAGGGCACCACCCCCCAGACCCTGGATTCGGGGTCTGTGAGGTTAGCCTTCGAGGTTTTCATATAGACCCCAAAAATCTTCACATCCTTCAAGGAACGATGAGAACAGGAAAAGACAGCCACGGGCCCTGGAGGCACGCATTCCGGTCCAGAGTCCCCACCATCCAAACCCGCAGCTTTCAGCCTCACAGCAAACCCAGCACAGCCCAGCACACACACACACCTCAATTATGGATTACCCTCTGCACTTTCAGGGGGCCCCGGATCGAGATTTAAGGCTGTGCCGCCGCCCTTGAAGGCAACACGAGTTATTTCCCGACCTCCGTCTCTGCAGCTTAGTGATAAATTACGGTGTGCTGAGGGGATAAACTGTATCTTAGAAAAGATTGCCGGGCTCCCGTTGCCATGACAACAGAGCGCACCCCGTCACTCCTCCGCCCGTCAACACCACACCTGGCATGGAGAAGCTGCTCTCTGTGCTCCGTTAGCAGCGCGGGCTGTCTGTGTAATGACTTAGGTGACAAACTCTGATCACCCCTGGGCGTGCGCCCCGGAGGCACAGAGCTGCTGAGCCACAGACGGCAGCCCTCACCTTGGAGTCACCCATCACAGGACCCGGGAGCCCGCGGTCACCGCCTCGGGCCTGAGCTGCTGCAAAAGCCTGACCTGGATCTCCAGGGGAGACTGCGGCCACCGAAGGGCACCCGGAGGAGCCAGACCGCCGGTGAGAGTCTCGGACCCACAGCCCCTGGGTGCTGAAGGCAGGGCGGAGGAGGAAGGCGGCTGTGCAGCTCCCTACGACCCAGAGAACGACACAGACAGGCCGCGTGGCTCCCAACAGAGCTGACCCAGAACCAAGCCTGGAGGACGGGGGCACGGGGCAGGGGGCGGGGCGTGGGGCGGGGCACCTGCGCGTGTCTGGCTCTGGCCTTCACTGACCTCATGGTCCGCGTGTCCCAGCCTCGGATGGCCGTGTCGTTCGCCGTGGCCACCTGGGAGCAGTTGTGATGTGGGCTCCAGCGGCCTGTCGTGAACTTCAGCTGTCCCTTCCCTTCCAGCGACGCTGAGCTGGCCAGCTATGGGTTTGGTGATGTTTTCAAAGGAAGAAGGAAACAGAAATAATTTGAAGTCTATTCAGAACGTTTAAGAGGATATCTTGTATAGGATACCATAGAAGATAATTATTGAAAATAATTAGGAAGCTTTGTCTTTGTTTTCTCCCCTTAAAAGGCAAGAATGTTTGAACCATATTTGCCAAAAATGTGTATATATATATATTTATTTATTTACAAAATGGAGCACAGCAAAAAAATAGCAAGGGTATTAATAGAGCATCTCTCAGACAGGATTTGCCGGTGTATGGTCAGAGGATCTGCTCAAATCTGAGGCAATGATACAGAAGAGCCCAAGCATCGGCCTCCTCCAAAGACAAGGATGAGGCGGCAGGGGTCTGCACAGGCGGCCCCAAGTGCCAAGAGACCAACGGCCGCGACCTGACCACACACACGCTCAGACAGTCCCTCCCCAGCCTCAAGGGCCTCTAGCTCTGTTACTTGGGGGTTAACTGATCCCAGTGGCTAACAGAGGAGACCCTGGAGAGCACTGGCCCTGGACGAGCCTGGGAGACGGCACCCCATCCCGCTGCCCACCCGCCCTCGATCTCACGCACAAAGGCCTGTCACTCGGGGGGATGGACGCGGGGGCGCCGGGCTTGTCTGTGGGGATGGACGCGGGGGCACCGGGCTTGTCTGTGGCCCTCAGACACCCGCCCCTCGTGACTCACTTCACTTCACCCTGAACACCAGCCTCGCCCTCTGCAGAACCTCTGCACGGGGCCCAGTGCTGGATGGAGGCCCCAGACGCAGCCCCAGCAGCTGTGGCCCATGAGGCAGTCAGTGCAGGGTATTCGATCAGAACCTGGGGAAAACCATGGCTTCCTCTCCCAGGAGCCTGGCTCCGTTAAGAAGTCTGATAGCAGAGACATCTTTAAGAATGACTCTGAGCCAGGGCCCCATTTACGTAGTGACCGCCGCATAAGGGGTCACCGTCCAGGAAGCACCTCACCTCTTCCTTGGACAGTCTCAACCTGTCCCAGAAAACCTTTCTCCCCAAAACCCACTTTCCCGCCTCACCGACTCTGCAAACCACGTGGACAACAGGTTGCGTCCCCGTCTCGGCGCCAGTCCGTGCAGGCACACGCGCTCCTCTCCCAGGGACTGAATGCCTGGAGTCCACGCCCTGAGTTCCAGACAGAGGTCGGAGGGTCAGGACAGCGTCTCATCTCTAAGGAAACTTGCAGATGGTCCTGCACCGTCCAGCTTCACAGGGAGCCCTCCTGGGCGCCCGCCCTGCCCCCAACTCCATGATCGGGAGCAAGCGCCAGGTCGAACCCTTACGAAATGTCACTGCCAGTCAAGCTCCCTGTGCTGCCTCTACTCCGACTCCGTCGGGCTCCAAGAGAAGGAAAGTGCGCGAAACTGACCAGCACAACCTGCTTCCAAAGCCCACACGTAGGTGGCCTCCGGCCAACAGTCCACGAGGAACCCAGGCCCTCTGTCCATGCACGTCCGAGAGCCCTCCGATGAGACCCCAGCCCCACTGACACCTGGCCCGCAGCCTCACAGGCCTTGAGGTTCCAGACTTCTGACTGTTCCCACAGAAACCACATGATGGCCACTGTGGGAAGTGCTGACAGTGTGGTGGGCGCTTGTCAGGGAGCATGGATAACTGGTAAGACCCCATGTGAACTCAGCAGTAGAGACACGGCCGCGGCCCAGCCCCCGACCCACCAAGAGGGCAGGAGTCCCGCCCGAGGTCACACAGAAAAGGCAGGGCCCCCCACCCCCCTCAGAGAGGGCAGGGACCCCACGAAGTCATGCAGAGAGGGCAGGGGTCCTGCCCAAGGTCACACAGAGAGGGCAGGGACCCCCACCCACAGAGAGGGCAGTAGTCCCATCCGAGGTCACACAGAGAGGGCAGGGGCCCCGCCCGAGGTCACAGCCGCCCTGCAGAATGGACCGCTTCCCGCTCCACCACTCACTCAAACACAGGAACCACCGGGCCCACAGAGCGCCGTGCCCATGGGTGCCGAGAAGTCTGCAAGGCAGATTTTAATGAAAACCTGAAAGACAGCTCACCATCAATTTTTTAAGGGGCTACGTGGGGCAGCCAGCATGGTGCAAGTTGTAAGGTTAATCAATCACTTTTTCTGGTTTCCTGGTGACACAGAGACAGAACTCAGCAAGAACTCCAGAGGGTGCAGTGCACACGGTAATCTGCTTCCCAGCATTAAAGAGAAATATTCAGTGCTTCCCGGTCCAGCAGGAGTGATGAAAGGCTCCCCCAAACCCTCTCAGAAGAGCGACTGGTGCAGGACAAGAACAAAGAAGGCACCGCCCACGAACAAAACGCTGGGACTCGAGCTGGCGGGGGCAGTTCAAGGAGAGTGTCGGCGTGCTTTCCAGAGACCCAAGCAGCAGCCCCATCACCAAGCCCCACGGCGTGGAGAGGGGGCAGGACTCAGCGCGGAGGTGGCAGGACTCAGCGTGGAGCGGGCAGGACTGGGCAGACCTGGGCTGGGGGCAGGACTCAAGGATGCGGGGCCCCACACACACTCCTCGGGGCCAGAGAGCTCAGCGAGCGCCACCATCCTACTTACCCCCCCCCCGCCCCCAACATGAAGCAACTGCAGGGCGGGGGCCTTTCCAGCACAAGAGACGCCGCGTCCGTGCAGGCAAGCCCACCTTGTGTGAGCCTGGCCCTGGCTGCCGGTCACACAGCAGCCCCCACCACGGGGGCCTCTCTCCCTGGAACACCCCGCATGGCCCCCTGAGCCAGGCCTGGTGGGCTTGTTCCCCTCTCCAAGACGGGCTTAGGCCCAGACACAGAGTCACACGTGAAAAAGAGACAAAAGGACTCCCAGGAAAGGCTTTCCTTACAAACCAAGGATGCTATGGAGCCTGGATGTGATGGCTGGAACGTCTGCAGCCACCTTTTGGTCACGACGGGGAGAGCAGTGACAGGTGGACACGGCAGAGGAGAAAGATGCAGAGTCGCTGGGCCCTCAATTTGATGAAGACCCTGAATCAACCAACCCCGGGGGGCTTTATTCCACGCTTCTTGTTTCAGCAGACAATAAAACCTCTCTAAGTCACTTCTTATGTCCTGCAGCCAAATGCGTTCTCACCGAAACACCCAGGATGCCCCTGAGTCAACGCCATCAGGGGTGCCTCCAGGGAAGGGCAGCTCCCCTTTTTGAGCCGGACCCCCGAGTGGGTCCCTGCTTTCCCAGTGAGTGACCACGAGTTACTGCGTTTCTCTGAGGCCTAACTTTCTCTCCTGTGTCTCATTTTTAAGACAGATATCAAAGAATCTGCCCCCAAGGCTTATGAGGATTCAACAAGACGAACCCCTAAAAAGCGCCGCCCCTGCCCGCAGCTCTGCTCCGCCTTCAGGGAGCTGGTGGAGGGACAGGGGCGCTGTCTTCCGGGCCCGCGGAGAGGACTCAGCACTGTCGTGGAAACAGGACTTGGCTGGACACCCCAGCCCCTTTGTTGCCTTCAAGACGGGAAGAAAGGGTCCTGCCGCCCCCGCCCCAGGGTCACAGGGCAGGCGGGCTAACCCCCTGCGTGCCCTGCCTCAGCCCATGACAGACCCAAGCAGGGCTGGCAGCTCCCACCCCCGTGAAGGACTCTGCCCCCCAGGAGTGCTCCGGCTCCACAGGTTTTGAGAGCGGCCTCCTGGAAACCAGAGTCCCTGTGTCTAGGAAATGCACACACAACCGCAGGTGCCAGCAAGGGTGAGGAACCTGAGGTCATTTCCGATGTATTTGTAGTTCATTTCAAGCAAGACTGACTCCACTGCAGGAAGAAGAGAGCAAGGCCTTTCCCTTTGTCGCACCAAAAGCCAACCCCTCCTCGTGTACAGAAACGTGTCTGACACCCACCAATGCGGGTGTGATCTCGGCTCCAAACAGACTCAAAACAGGGAAGGCTATGAGGACGGATTTAAGGTCTTTGGCCAAGGTGGGCGAGAAGGTAACAGGTATTCCTGTCCCATAGAGGAGCCACGAGCGAGGTGCTGGAGAGACGGCCTCTCTGCGCCTTCCACTCTTATCTGAGGGCTCCAGGAGCTGGCCCTTCTCCCCACTGGCTCACTCCCCATGCGCGGAGCCCAGGAAGCAGAGGGAAGCAGGGTTGTGGGCAAGGAGGCGAGGAGCCTGGGCCTCTGTCCCCGGGCGGTGAGCCCGCCTGCAGCTCAGGCAGAGCAGGCAGGGCTGCAGGAAGCAGCTCCCACGTGGAGCTGCGGCCTCCTACGGCACACATGAAACCCTGCACGAGAGATTTCTGGAAGCACACCGGGTCCTTGAAGCCTGTCCTCTTCTCCCAGGAAGTGCTCCCCTGGGCACCACCCCCAGGCCTGCCAGCCGCCCTTCCACCCCATGGAAGCTAGTTCTTCCCGCAGCCGGGGAAAGCCCAAGGACCCGGGCATGAGCACGCGCAGACCCAAACTGGGGGGCACTGCATCGGCCCGCGTGGGGGTCCCGGGCCCCACGGAGCACCCCCTCCAAGGCCTCCCTGGGGCTCCGCTAATGATTACAAATGGCAGAGAGCCTCCGATTTAATTGCAAAAGGTAATGATGCAGTGAGCATAAGATTAGATTCACCGCAGAAGGCAATATCCTCAAACAATAAGGACAAAAATTGAGGAGCCGGGTGTGAAGATGGCTGGAATCGATAGGAAGGTTTCGGTATTAAATACTCCGGCCCCAGGGTCGCAAAGTGGTATCGACAGAACTGCTGACAGCAGATAAAAAAAGGGGGAGAGAAACGAAATTGGTCCCTGCAGAAAATCAGTTACAGATTAATCACCCTACCGTAAAATCATTCTGAGACGACAGAGGGTCTGAAGAGCTGTTCACACTTTGATGACTGGATGGGCCTGCAGAGTGGGGGCCCCAGGGCAGTGGACTCCTAACCCCCCCGGGTACCGCCTTCCGGGGGAGGGCAGTGGCCGCTCCATCACTCCGCGCATCCCCGGACCGGGGCCAGTGTCCTTGCACAGCACTGCCGCGAGGCCCGGCACCCTCACAGCTCAGCCTCGTCCCTTTCTGGGCTCAAGGGCGGTCTCGAGGAACAGCCCCCTGAGCGCAGGTGGGGACAGGGGGCAGGAGTCCACACCCTGCACTGTGGTCTGGACACCCCGCCGAGTCCCCCGGAAGGCAGAGGCATGGGGAGACTGTGGAGGCGTCTCCCCGGACTCAGGGGGCCTCAGGGCAACGTCAGGAGCCAGCTTCCTTCATGTTCCCACTTGGGCCTCAGTTTGGGTGAAATCTGCTTTCTGCTCCAGGATTGCGAGATGTCTTATTTTTTCTTAATTTTAATAAAGACAGATTTTTCCCATACTGTGCTGGGAAAGCTGGCCGACTCTTAACTTCCCGCGGAAGCCTGTGAGAGGTCCTTCTGTGTGTGTGGACAGGTCACTCCACACTGGGACGGGACTGACTTCCGCGCTGTGTGTCGATGAACGATCAATCACTACACACGCAACCTCAACCCAGAGGGTGAAGACACGAGGCAAAAGAACTGAGCGCGCGTCCCAGTCATGAGCGGGCAGAAGTGAACACGGTCCCTGAACGGGTCTCCCAGAGGCGCGCCTCTCGAGCCCCCGGGTGCGGGAGAGGGGCCCAGGTGTGGGCGGCATTAGAGGCACTGTCGTGTCAAATTGCTTCATTTTCTCTCCAAAGTTGCAGCTTCGACAAACAAATGCACTGAAATTATGAATGCATATAAAACAAGACATTTGACACAAGGACATTTTAAGGAATCACGTATGAAAAAAATACATACCAACGGGTAGAATATTTAGTTTGTGAAAAACACACTATTTGAAGTGAGGAGTATGTGAAAGCCAGACTGGTTTCCAAGAAGGCTGGGGCAGAGTACTGCGCAGGTCTGGAGGTGAACGGGCCATCGGGGGAGACACCGCCTCCTGGTCGGGGCCCTGCAGCAGAGCTGCCCCCACGCCGCAGGGCGAGACCTCAGGGGACACACGGGCGCCTGGCGGGGCAGGACGGCAGCCAGCGTGCATACCACATGGACAGAAAGGCAGACGCGCCCGACAGCCACACCCTGAAAGGCTGAGGGGTCACCAGGTCATGGTCAACAGCCATTTTCATGACCAGGAAACCTTTATGTCACGAATGCTCCTCTGTTAAAGGTGACCTTAACCAAATACATGCTGAAAACCGTTCATTAAAAAGACTCACACCTGAAACAGAAGACCACGACTTGGGGCAAATTATGGCCAAAGGGGAGAGTTCCGTCAACACCCAGGTTCCGTGTCTCCTTTGCACACGGCTCTTAGACTCGAGTCGGAAGCTTCCTGCCTGAAGGAGACAGTCAGTCATCCGACCGACGACGAGCCAGTCCGCTTCTTACTTATTGCACAATCAGTGTCAAGATTCTAAACGTATATGAACCGATAAATGTACTGTGAATTCACCTGAAGGGTCTAATCAAGAAGACGGAAGATAGAAGCCCTGTGGCCTGAATCACTCACCATGGCCTGGCTGGAGCTTTCCTGCAGATCCCACAGCAGGATGTGGTTGTCGGCCAGCGAGATGACCCTCTTCCCGTCTCCCGCGGGCTCCCAGGCGATGCTGCGGGAAGGAGGGAGCCCAGCGTTAAAAGATGCCCACCCCGAGGCCCGGAGCTCAGACACCCGGCCCTCGGAAAGGCCCTGCCCAGCCCCTGTCAGCAGAGGGAGGCAGCGTGACCCAGGGCAGCTGCCACACTCCTGAGGCCTGAGCGTCCGCGTCTCTCCCCCAGAGCCAGCTGGTGCTGGGTGGGAGAGGGGGGCCGTCTGGAAAGTGATGAGGGTTCACTGAGGTCAGGAGGATGAGGCCTGTGATGGGGAAAGTGCCCCGGTGGGGACTGACCCTGCTCCCAGGCTCCGTCTCTGACTCTCTGCTTCCCTCTCTTCCTATCCGTCTCCGTCTCTCTCTCTCTCCGTCTCTCTCCCACTGTCCTGAGAACACACAGTGGGAGGCGGCCACCTGCAAGCTGGGAAAAGGGCCCGCTCCTACCCCTGGCCTGCCCACACCCTGATCCCAGCTCTCCAGCCCCGAGAACTGCTTACAGTTCTGCTTACAACTCTTGCGTCCTTGTGGGCCCCCAGCTGTCGGTTTCATCAAGGCACCTGAGCTGAGGCACCGCTGACAGCTTCTCCCAGGACCTGAGGCACAGACAGCGGACAGACCCTGGCCACTGAGATCCACGGGGGCTGGCTGGGGGCTGGGTCTGAAGGGGCCCAGGTGGCCAGTGCCCACATCTTCCACTGCCCCCTCCTGGGAGGGCAAAGCTGAGAGTCCTGGTCAACCGTCAGGCCCGAGATGTCAGATCACGTCCTTCTGTCTCAGCCTACGTGAGTCATGGTTTCCTGTTACCTGCAGCCAAAGCCATCCTAACTGACGCGATGCACATCTGAACAATTAACAAGACAAAAATCACCTCGCCTGTGTGATAAAACCATGAAGAGATCGAGGATTTTCAGCGTGACCACAGGAATGAATTTCTGTCTTCCCTAATGAAATTCTTCAGAGCTTATGGAGAGAGCTTCATTTCACATCCTCGCACACATGGCCACTACAGACATGGATGGAGACCCTCACGGCTTCTCTTCCACACAAATCACAATACTGCCCGACGGGGGGCACCTCCCTAATACGACCCCTCAGGACCGTCAACGGGCTGTCACGACTTTTATCACAACACTGCCTGCTGCTCGGTCACTCAGTTGGGTCCAAATCTGTGTGACCCCATGAACTGCAGCCCGCCGGGCTCCCCTGTCCATGGGACTCTCCAGGCAACAAGCCTGGAGTGGGTGGCCATTCCTTTCTCTGGGGGACCTTCCCCACTCAGGGGTTGAACCAGAGTCTTCAGCATTGCAGGCGGACTCTTTACCGCTGTGCCCCCTGGCGGCCCACCTGAATGACCAGAGACGCCCAAAATAGAAAAGCAGAGAAAATCAGGTACTTCAGAAAACTGACACGAATCATGTCAGTAACAGCTTGTTAACTTCCTGTGAAAGAGACGAGACTAAGGAGAAAGCCACCAGCTGTCCTGGGATGGAGAGAAAGCCCAGACGCTGGAAACCTGGGCCCCGTCTAACCCCGGTGTGAGGCTGCGGGGAGGGCACGGAAGGACAGGCAAACACGCCGTTCCAGGTCTGGGGCATGTTCTCATTGTTGCTGCAGGCCCGGCTCCCACACAGGGCCTGGAGAGACACCCCAAACAGAAGGGAAAGGGGCCTGCACCCAGCATGTTTGGGGGAGGCTGTGGTCAGAACGTGCGTCTGCCAAAGCTGACATGATGGGTGACTCTGGACAGCTCACTGTCAAAAACTGTAAGAAGAAACCAAACCCCACGGGAGCACACACAGGGGGGCTACTCAAAGCTGCATCAAGGAAAACCAGGACCGAGGACCAGGAGGTAAATAAAACAAGGGCGCTCTTCAGGCCACTGAGCAGGCGGCCGCGGTCTAGACGTGTGGACCGTCCCGCATGTTCACTGCTGATGAAACACACCCCAAACCCCCGCCTCCCGCCCGCTAGCCTCACCCCGGCTCCCGGCTCCCATGTTCTCTCCATGCACTCCTCCCAGGCGTCTCCCTTTTGTCCTACAACTTCTGCCCCCACGGAAGCAACAAACCCAGTGTGTGTGTGTATCCGTCTACAGACAGTCGGCACGCCAGGCGATCGGGGTGCCTGCTGCAGAAGAGCGAGCCTGAGGTGCACACACACAGCACTGTCCCCAGAAGGGACGCCCCCTCTCAACTGGGGCCCAGCCGCCGAGCAGAGCTGCTGTTCACTGCCCACCCAGGGGTGACGCATCTGACAGTAAGTGCAGTGGGTTTACAGGGAGCAACCCCCGTGATCAAGAGAGACTGGAATAAGTGGGGCATGCAAAGTGCAATAAAAAAGGAAATTCTACTGCATCACGCATCATCACCAGGGAACTAGTGCTATAAACATAGGAAAATAACCCAGAGTTTCTGCCACACTTGCTACTCCAAACTAGGGCGTTTATTTCTTTGTTCATAAAAGTCATCCACATTTCTGCTTTTTTTTTACTCTCTCTCCATGGATGTGAGTGACATAAACCTGTATTAACAAGTCAGGAGCCAGGAAGCACGCACCCAATGTATGTACACTGCACCCCCTCATTATCACTGAGTGAGAAACAGGAGGAAAGGGCCGTCTCTGCAAATAAACCCAAGCCAGAGAAACGAAAGCTCTGTGCGCAGTAACAAGGCCAGGACAGCAGGAGTGAGGGTCCTGGTCTCACAGGCTGCACATGATCAAACGAGACACACTTCTCTCCCTCAGACAAGTGGCTCCAAAATGAGTGATTCACACGCTAGATTTCGACACCTGTGGTAAGGACACCGAGAAACCCTTAAAACAACCTCAGTGCAAGATTACTTTGGTGGTGGTTTAGTGGCTAAGTCGTGTCCAACTCTTGCGGCCCCATGGACTGAAACCTACCAGGCTCCTTTGTCTGCAGGACTCCCCAGGCAAGAACATTGGAGTGGGCTGCTGTTTCCTTCTCCAGGGGATCTTCCTGACCCAGGGGTCAAACACGGGTCTCCTGCACTACAGGCAGATTCATTACCAACTGAGCTACGATTACTTTTAATCCACGTCATTTACCTCTCCAACCTACTCCCTGCAGCCCCTTCTGGCAGGCAGTGGGGCTGTCGGGGCAGCATAGCTGCTGAAAGGACGGAGACCACCGAACATGAGACACGTGAGACGGCAGTCAGCGCTCGCCACAGAGCTGAAGACAGACCGCACAGCTAGGCAGGGACTGTGGCTCCAGTGGTTTTCCGAAACTCTCCCATTTGCTGCTTTACTGAGAAAGGGAAAAACCTTAAGTAAGAAACACAACTATTAAGTCACTGGTGATTGTGTCAGTCGTTACCAGTCAAGTTTTGAAAACCTTTTACAAGGAGAACGTAATACATTATTTCCTCAATTTTTATATCTCTCTCTTAAAATACAGATTTGGCAACCTGATTAATTTCTTCCTGCTCAAAAATTCACAGCAGAATGTAAGTTAGCTTTTCGTAAATGCTACAAAGATTTAAAAAAAAAAAAAGACCACTTCAAGAGTTACACCATAAAGTCAGGAAGCCTGTTTTGATCAATCTACGGAGGCAAGGTTTCCTATGGCAGTGACATGCGGACACTTGTACTGACATGATCACTTATGCCCAAACAGGGACCTCTTACTAACAGCAAATGGGTGTGTGGCTTTGGGCACCAGTGAGCTACTTACTGAAGGTCTGTGTTTATTCTAATGCTGCTTGCTTGCACAGACTTACTGCTCCATCACCCACGTGTGGGGCTCAACAGAAAGATGCCCTCGCACTAAGAGTCCAGCCACGGACGGTATTCGGGTAGGAGGACCTGCCCTCCCCAGAAGCCCCCTGGGTGGGCTCGTCTGAGGCCCCATCACAACACAGGGTGGACGTGGAACCGATGGACACCGCCGCCTGGGGCTCCCGTCCTGTCCTCCTTCTGCAGGGCGGCTCTGACAACCATCCCATTTGACGTGGAGACATCAGCCACAGGGAAGGGGGAGGGCGTCTTTACACCGTCCTGTGAGACCACCAACTGTTCCTTCCCTGCACAAAGTAAGGGCTGTTAGGCTTACCAAGTGGCACTAGTGGTAAAGAATCTGCCGGCTAATGCAGGAGACCTAAGAGACACAGGTTTGACCCCTCAGTCAGGAAGATCACTCGGAGGAGGGCACGGCAGCCCAGGCCAGTATTCCTGCCTGAAGAATCCCGTGGACAGAGGACCCTGGTGGGCTACAGTCCATGGAGCCACAAACAGTCGGACACGACTGAAGCGACTTAATACACACACACAAGCGTCTCTCCAGACTTCTCTCAAAGCTGAGGCCACTCCAGCAGTGAGCCAGGAACCAGGAGGGCAGCTTATGGCTCCAGTTCACAAGCTTTACACCTAGGGACATTCAGGTAGGGTGAGGGAGGAAGGCACACGCAGGTCTTATAAAACCTGCTAAGTCTCCCGTGACAAAGCTGTCGTAACCACGGAGACCTTTCCACCCTCACTGACAGCAGAGTCAACGGTTGGCTCTCTGAAAACTTCATACATCCTCTCTAATTATCCTCTGAGACAGCTTTGGAAGATATTAAGGATAGCTTAGAATTCACTCTGTAACATTCACCTGAACCAACACACACTCCTCCATCCTGTGGACTGAAATGGAGAACCACAAAACCAGAGATGAGGCCCCGTCCCTTCTTCTGGCCAAGACACCCCAAGTGCTCGGGGACCCACACAAGCTTCTCTTCTTGTGTTTCCTCCACACTCAACCCAAACACCTGTGCCTTTCTGCTTCTCCTATGAGGACGAGTAATGTGGATGCCACTTCCCGAGATCCCTGACCCTCAGCCAGGCTGGCACATCAGCGTGACATTTACCTCCGCCTACACCAAAGAGGGACCTTCCCCAAAAAGCTGGCGCAGAAAGCAGAGGCCGGTGGTCCCCCATCGAGGGCCCGGAGCATCTGGGAAGGCCTGAGGGAGACCCAGCTTGAGCCTGGGGTGAGGCTCCCCAGCCATCTCAGCCCCTTCACTTGAGGGGGGAGCAGGGCACGTGGGGAGGGGGCTGCAGCCAACTGTCATAACCACACTGCATCCCCAAAACTGCTGGGCTCTGATCTCAGTGACGCCTCCTTTAAGCAGATGCCCACCCAAATGGGTCTCACCGCCCACAAGACCCCACAATCTGTGTGCCTGCCCCCCGTACACCACCCGGGAAGTGGCCCTGTTCACACACCACGGACTCTGCTCCCCAGCTCGGTGGGGGGGGCAGGCCCACAGCCAAGGTCCACCCCCTCGGCAGCCTGAGAGCCTCTCCAGCATCAGGAGGAGACGCAGGGCTGCAGTCACCCTGTGGAGGCTACTCGGCATTCCGGCCGAAGGCAGTCGTGAAACGGCCGAGATCTCACAGGAGCCGGTGAAGGAGACCGCCACCCCTTCCTGCTCTTGCCTGCTGCGTTCCCGAACACCTCCCCCTCGTGGGACTGCAAGAGACACTGGGGTGAACAAGGAACAGGTGGGCTGCAGGGACCCCGGGGAACTAGGGGTGTCTGTGGTGGTTCCCACTTACGGGGTCGCTGTGAGAAATGCACTAGGCGATGCGTATAAACCCCGCCCCCAGGGCCCAGGGCCCGGTCAGGACTCAGCGTCATCACTGTGGCCCCAAGTGGCCCCAATTCGCTCCTTCTCTCCCGCAGCACCAGGGGCTGTCCTTGGTGCTGAAAGTCGCCCCCTTTCTTCCGAGGCACCAAAGGCGCTGCCCTTGGTGCTGAAACTGGCCCCTTCTCTCCAGCAGCGGGGGGAGCTGTCCTTGGTGCTGAAGTCGCTCCTCCCCCGGCAGTACCAGGCGCTGTCCTTGGTGCTGAAAGTCGCCCTCCCCCACCGCACCGTCGGGCGCTGTCCTTGGTGCTGAAAGTCGCCCCGTCTCTCCCGCAGCACCAGGCGCTGTCGTTGGTGCTGAAAGTCGCTCCTTCTCTCTCTCTCAGCACCAGGCACTGTCCTTAGGGTTGAGAGCCACGCCATGAAAGCAGCTCAGTCTACAGAGACCGCCACAGGAGCACGAGCTAGGCAGTGGTGACCACGGATGCGACAAAAGATGAAATCGTGCAAAACGACAGAAGGGCCTGAGTGGGGGTGAGCAGGGTTCATCTGGAGAGACGTTAGGAAGAGCCTCCCTGAGGAGGTGACACTGAGCCCATGGGAGTCAAGGGCTGCAGATCTCCCCAGGCGGCCCCTCCAGGCCACGTTGGGACCTGTGTCCCCACGGGCAGAAGCGGGGAGTCAGGCCCCGACGGGTCTGGGGGGTACGTTACGCCAGCCCCTTCACTGCCTCATTTACAGACAGTACCACAAATCCAGGGGCCCCGCCACGACCAGAAACGTCACCTCCTTTGCAGGAATGGAGACCTGTTCTAGAGAATCTGGTGACTTTCCAGTGACCCTACTGCCACCTGGGACAGGCAAGCACAAGGGCCCGGGCCCACACAGGACACATCAGTGCTCGCCCCCGTAGCGTGTGCCCGCCAAGCACACAGAGCCACAGGCCCTCTAGAACGTCCCCCCTCAGTCCTGGCCGGTCCCTGGAGGGGACTCAGGACACGAGCGTTGCCCGCCGGGCACTGCCCGACCCTGCCTGTTGCGGTGGAGGCAAGGAGGCTGTCTGCCCAGTGTCCTGGCTGCTCAGGACAGGTGGCTCTAAGGATAGGAGCCCATGCCTCGGCCGGTGGACACAGCCACGCTCTGAGACCCTGGGACTGTGCAGTGCTCCTGGATGCCCCCACGGGCAGCAGCAGAGGACGGTCAGGACAGCTGGGAGCCGCACTCCTAGATCTGCTCTCAGCACAGATAACAATTTAGAAGGGCAACAAGGGAAGGGAACCACTGCCTGCCATGCACGTGACCACCAGCAGCACCCTTCACCCCCACGCCTCTCCGGACTCAAGTTTGTGCATCAGGAGGAGACTGACTGCACTGAAGACACTCCAGAGAAGGTGCAAGCCCTCCTCGTGCCAGCGAGGGCGCCGAGACGGGGCCCGCACTCCCCGCAGGGGCAGCCCCCCGCCTCCACAAAACAGACACAGTGCTGCCCAGCCCAGCGAGGGTGCCGAGATGGGGCCCGCACACACCGCAGGCGCAGCCCCCGCCTCCACAAAACAGACACGGCGCTGCCCAGCCCAGCGAGGGTGCCGAGATGGGGCCCGCACACACCGCAGGCGCAGCCCCCGCCTCCACAAAACGGACACGGCACCGCCCGGCCCAGCAGCTGCCCCCGGCACCGGGCAGCGAAGCAGAGACCTGGGTGTGCAGAGACTGTTCAGAGAATCGGCTCACAGCAGCCCAAGGCTGCGGACCCAGAGGTGCTTCCACAGGCATGCGTCCATGGGCTGTCCATCCCCCCGGGTCCTCCTCGAGCAGGACCACACACACACGTGCAAACACTTCCTGGGGAGACAGGGCTGCCATCTGAGACGCGCCTCCGAACAGCTCCGTGTGGGGTGCGGGCGGCTCTGCTTTGGGGGACAGGACAGGCCCTCACACCCCTGCTGCACAGGCGGCTCATGCCCTGGGGAGAGAGACCCGCGCGGCCTGGCGTGTGCTGACACCCCTCCACCCCCCCAGGCGACAGGTCTCCCAGGCTGTAGCTCTGCTCCCCACCTCCCACACCCAGATGGGGAGACCAGAATCAGCCCCAGCTCCAGACATCACCTCCTCAGAGACCCCCTCGCCAATTCGTGAGTATCTCTTCCCTCGAGGCCCATGCACAGGGCTCACAACTCCAGCCTGGCCCCCACCCGCCCGCCAAGGTCCTGGGTAGATGTTGACACCACGTACCCCCTTAAAGAGCCTGACTCCTGGAGGCCAGGTCCCTGGGCCCTGGAGCAAGGCAGGGTGTGCAGTGGGTGCTTAATAATCACCTGCTGGACTAGATGCGTGTAACTGTCAGGGGGTGGCTGAGAAGGGACTGTGCATGCACAAGCACACTCGGGAGTGCTACTGTATCAAGAACAACTGTTGTTGTAACATGCACCCCCATCACAAGGGCACCCCTCTGTCGCATCTAGGAAACAGGGCTTCTTGAGGGGTGAGCTGGGCGTGCTCTGAGGTTGGCCTGTGCGTCACCCCAGAGGCACAGCCACCCTGTCACCACGTACATGGGCAGCCGTGTGCCAGGGAGCCCTGATGGAGGCCGGAGGCGTTTCTCTGTCTTGACACTGTGCGGGACGTTTGGGGAAATAAATTCGGGACGAAGCCTCCAAGGACTTGGGACACCACATGACCTGCACAGGGTCATCCACTGAGTCCACAGAAGGTGACACCAGAAGCCTCCAGCCCAAGCCGACAGAGAGGTCAGCTTATGCACAGGACGGCGGAGCAGACGTGCACTTATGAAGCAGAAAGCACTGGAGTGCTTCAGGGCTGGCTGGCGCCTGACCATCCCCCCAGCAGGTACCAGTAGGACGGACGTCAGCAGGAAAGGCCCCGAACACAGCTCCACCCAGAGTGTGTGCAGCAGGGCCCTCGGAGACGCGTCATCTGGGTAACAGCTGGTACTGAACAGAGAAAAGGCGAGCTACTGCCACCTCCTCTGCACACAGCGGAGAGGCCTCTGCCAGACACCTGCCCCCAGGGGCGTGCGGGGCGGGGGGCCTACCAGGCGGTGCTGCCGCGGGCCGCGGGCTCCAGGTGACAGAGCAGCTCCAGGGCGTGTGCGGGGCTCGTCGCATCCTCGGGGGACTCCTGGCCGCCGGGCTCCAGCTCTGCGGGCATCCTCCACACGGCGGCACAGGTCACCACTTTGCTGTCTGCAGCTGCGGAGGAGGACAAGGGAGACGTCAGCAGAGCGCGCTGCCCCCCAACCCCGCAGGCGGCGCCCCACACCCCTGCCCCGAGGAACCGGACCGACCGCGCAGCTCAAGCCACTGCTCCCTGCTCCCACGTCATCCTGCTGCCGAAGAAAATTTAATTTCCTCAAAATTGATTTCCTCCTGTTCTTCTTCAATAGTTCTTCAAACAAGGGAGAGAGACGGGGCGGGGGGTGGGGGTGGGCTGCAGCTAAAGCTATAATCACTGTGGGTGCAGAGGGTCTAAGGGCCACATTAAACACATTTTCCTTGGAAGCCCGGTGAGAGCACCAGGCTCGGGGGCGGGGGAGCACATGTGTGGTGCTCACACATATGTGCTAAATGGTGTCAGTGCGGGTGCAGGCCCCTCAGTCCACTGAAGCCATGAGCACAGGCCAAGCCCTGGCAGATAGCAGCCCAGGGCCCGACCTCGACGCAGGACCACTTTGGGGACAGAGAGGCAGGTTCCCTCTTTGCAAGGAGCGTGCTGGCTCCAGGTTTCTGCCTTCTAAACAAGTCCTCTTCTGTGAGCAGATTTTTGCAGTGAGACACAAAATAAGATGAAAAGGCACCAATGAGATGAAAGAAACAGATTTAACGTTACATGATTAAAAGCGGAACCACAAATTCTTAAATGTAAACTCATTCCAAAATGTGCTGCTTGGTTCTGAACAACACATGTGCCAAGCACCTTCCCCTTTAAAAGTGGTCTTTAATAAATGGTAATAAAAGAATGAATAGGCTTCAATGTTAAATCAGTAACTGGTATCAAGTGAAGAATATGAAATAATTGTAGAAAACAATGCCCCATGAGCAGTAATTCCTACACAAAAATTAAGAGGGGGAAGAAAAGGACCTTACCATACATTAGAAAACGTCCCACTTCTCACTACATGCAATGGTCCTTCGATCTAAACACCAAACTAATCAGCCAGGAACCCCACAGCAGGAACCACAGGGGAAATGCCTGGCCCCCCAGGTGCTGTTATCACAACACCATCATCACCCACGATCAAATGGTCAGCAAGAGAATCAGAACTTCAACCACGCCTCTCTGACCCCTATCTCAGCACTCTGTTCATGTACCTGACTGGGTCTGACAGAGCAGGGAATTGCAGCTTAAAGAATCATGGATGTTACATACAAATTCAGTGTTAACACATCCACCTTTAACCATGCAGAGTAGAGCATGACAGTTTCTGTCTACGAGTGAAATGGATTTTTTCGCTGAGATTTTAACTTTCACAGTCTCACTGCAGAGCCCCTGGGGTTGGCAACAGAACTCCTGAAAAGAGAGAAACGAACTGAAGAGGCAGTTGGTAACTCTGAGTTGGAAGGCAGCAGCAAATGCCCAAAACACTCACCCAGCAGAGGCAGACAGAAAAAGAAAAAGAAAAAGAAAGTTCTACCCTGAAAAGTGATGGGGCGAGTGACCTGAGAACGAAACGCTGGCTGTGTGCACGAGACAGCAGGTGACACGCAGCAGAAACAGCTGGTGCGGGAGGGGCGGCCAGCGCTGAGCCCCGGCGGCCAGCTCCCTCCGAGAATCCTGCTCCGGAGTCGGGCAAGTAACGCCTCCTACAGCTGCCTGCTCACCCGGCAAACCTAACTGCTGCGGGTGAGATGCTAAATGCTTCCCCCTTGAGAAGAGGAACGAGACGAGAATGCTCTGTGCTACACCGGAGGTCCTAACTACTTCAGCATGGCAAGAAAAATAAAAGCTGTAAGAACAAGAAAAGAATAAAAGTACTGCTATTTGCTAATGATTATATGTGTAAAAATCCTAGAATCTACACACATAGACAGTAAATACAAAGGGAAATCAGCAAAACTGCTAGACACAAAGATGTTGTACAAAATTCAACTGGTATCTATAGATTCACAAAGATTTCTTAAAAACAAAATTTGAAAAACTATTAACGATCTAATTAAAAAATGAAATATCCAATAATAGCTAACAGAGCAAAGGCCTCACTAACTGGAGGGGCATACCATGTTCATAGATGGGAAACTTCTCGACTGGAAAGAGCCCTGAATTCTCAAAGTTCTGCTTGGCCTTTTTTTTTTTTTTTGGAAGAAATGCTAAAATTTACATGGAAATGTGAACTACCCAGATGGCCAAGACAGTCATGCAGAAGAACAAAACTGGATGGTTTACAATCTGGCATTAATTTACTGCTGATACCCAGTGAGATAAATAGCCCAGAGAAAGAAAAGGGAATCCAGAAATAGATTTCACAGAGATGGCCACCTGATTTAAAACAAAATGACAAAATGATACTTACTGGAGTGGACAAAGGATGATCTTTTCAATAAAAGATGCTGGATCAGTTATGTATCCATGTGAAAAAAAAAAAAATGAGCTGCATTCTACTTCACAACACATCCAAAAACTAACTCCAGAAAGACTGGAGGTAGAAATGAGTAAGATAAAACCATACAAATCTTTCTAGAATACACAGTAGTATATCCTAACTCTGGAATAAGCAGACTTCTTAATTGAGGCAGAAAAACCACAAATGACAAAGAAAAAGACTGATAACAGGCTACTTTATAATTAAGAACTTCATTCACCAAAAGACATTGGACTTTATCAAAATTTAAAACTGCCGCTCTTGGAAAGACTTGGCTTTAAAAATAACGCAGAACTTGGGAGACAATATTCAGAATACATATATCTGTATCCTGATAAAGGGCTTGTATTTAATATATATAAAGAATTTCTACAACTTAATAATAAGACAAGTAACCCAATTTTCAAAAGCAGGCAGAAGACTGAATCAGACATTTCACAAAAGAAAACATATGAATGGTCAAAAAGCTCCAGAAAAGACATTCAACATCAGCAGTAACTGGAGAAACGCACAATAAAACCAAAACAAGATAGACTGCATACCTGCTGGAAAGGCTAACGTCAATGTAAAGGCAACTGTACTCCTCAAGTATTGCTAGAAAGAGTGTAAAATAATTCAAACATTCTGGAAAACATTTTGGCAGCTGAATGTCCACATACCAGGTGACCCAGCAATCCTGCTCTCAGGAGAAGCTGTCGGGAAGCGTGGCTTGTTGATAACAGGCTCTGTGACCACTCTCTGACCCCAGCAATTAAACCTGGCCCCAAAGCAAGAGCGGCCTGCTGGTGGTAGGTGACTGCCAGAAGCCAGGGGGCAGCAATTATCCTAACGACCAACCAGGCCAGGGTACCAGCCAAGGAAGGCCAACTGGCGGACAGACAACAGGAGACGTCCTCCAAGGAATGGAGCAGATGGCCCTCCGCCCCTGTATCGCTGGCCCCCCACACAGAGACACGCGTCCACACAAAGCCAAGGGACACAGGAGTGAATGAGCAGGAGGCTGAGGGGAGTCACCCCACTGAAGTCAAAGTCCTTCACCCAGGCCCGGGCTCGGCCGGGTTCAGACACGGGACCCCTGATGGGAACGTGGCCGGATGCCCCGCGGTCAGGGCCCCGCAGCACCAGGCAGGTGTGTAACAAGACACCCCCACCCCCGTCGGTCTCCAGGGACCTCCCGCTGCTTACCTGGGGCTCACACGCCGGGCAGAGGGCCACACCTGACAGCGCAAGGTTCACTGAACCCAAAGCGTCCCACGTCCCCGTTAGACTGGGGCGCTGGGGGGCCAGCAATAAAGGAACAAAGCCAGGTCACAGTAGGTGCGCCAGGCCTGCAGACCCACCCAGACAGGCCATTCCCACGGGGCGGACATACAGCAGGGGGTAAAAGGCCCACCGCCCCGTGGCCTTTGGGGTCAGCGGGTGGAAGCCTCAGAAAGGGTCCTTCTCCCTGTCAAAGGGCAGTGGAGACACGGGCCTACTTTAAGGGTTAAGGGCATGGAGGGCTGGGGCCTTGTGGACAGCAGCCACAGAGCAGATGCACTCGGGGGGCCGGGAAGAGGACAGGCACACCCTGCCCATCCTCGCTACGTGCACCTGAGGCTGGAGGCCAACGGTCTGGCCAGAAGCCCAGAGGAGAAGACTGGGAGACTGAGACAGGGAGCCCAGTCAGACCAGACGCGGCCCACAAGGATGCAAAACATCATCAAATGGTTGCATAACACAAGGTCCAGGTCAGCAAGTGCCCTGAGAGTCAAGGCGAGGTGCCTGAAGCAGGGAGACGCCCTCCCTGCAGGGAAGTCAGAGGAAGCTGCTCGGAACAGGAGCAACCTGACCCGTGTTCCCGGGAAGGTGTGGGCATGTGAAGTGCGCACAGAGGTGTTCTGAGCAGGATCGCAGGCCCGGGGACCTTAGGGCGTGGAGCATGGCCAACGCTCCCATGTGGGACAGAACGAGGTGAACTAACGCCGAGAGAAATGAGGGCTGGAGCCTTCAAGGAGCACACCAGAAGGGGCCTCAGGGACCAGTCAAGGCGTGTGGAGGGCCTGCTTCAGACCAGGGAGGGAGGCCAGCAATTCTGAAACCACACTGCATCTGCTGGGAAGAATTCCATCAACACGAGGCAAGTCCAAAGCCCCTTACTGAAAGACAAACACCAGAACCATCCTGAGGAAGACCAGAAAGCCACCAGGTTCAGGGCCTATGGAAGGCTCCTGCCAAGATCACCCGCCCAAGAGATGTGCAGGGCTGCAGAGTATTGTCAGGGTGCACTCTCGGTCCAAGGAATACGGTAGGCGTTATCGAAACTCTCCAAGTCAGACAGAAGCAGATGAAATGGAAGGTAAACAGTGCTAAATGAGAAACACTGGAGGTATACCCATCGAGACACGCAAATTGGCTCTGAAACTCTGAGGGTTTCCATATCTATATGGATCTCAACTGAGCATTCAACACACATCCACCAGCTATCAAAGAAACCAAGGTGCTTTTAAGAAGGAAAACCCGATCTTTAGAAGGAAAATGCTGTAATGACCACCAAGGCGTTCTTCTTTTATCTCTGTTTTCAAAGCTACCCTGAAGTCAGGCCCTGCGGTGTAACTGCCGGACTTACTGCTC